CAGACCAGCCCAACTCCAGCCATTGTGGCCATTTGGGGAGTGAATCAGTGGACGGAAGACCTCTCTCTCACACTCTGTGTCTCTTTCAAATGAAATAAATATTTTTTAAAGTTTATTGTTCATACAATACAGGAAAAAAATGAATTTATCATGACCTGATATGACAAAAAACAATTTTAAAAATAGCCTTCAGCCTTCAACCAATTATTTTGCCAAACTTCCTGTCCTAACACATATTCATGCTAGTGTTATTGCAGCCTCCTTAATGCAGATCAGTGAATAAGTTAATAAAAACTGCTTGATCACCATGGGTATTAAAACAATGTCACTTTGGAATCACTGCTCTGCAATTATTTTTTTCTCCTACAAATCTTATCTTCAACATAAACAGGGAAAGCTTTGATTCAGAGCATTTGGTTGTGACACAAAGGTCAAAGATTCAAAGATTCCATTCCTGAACAGAACATCTATTCTACTAGGATTCTTTTTTTTTTTTTTTTCATCATAGATAGGTAGGTAAGTGGGTAGACAGACAGATGAAAGTTGCAAGACCAGCTGGAGGAGATTAGGTAAAGGAATGGACTGTGTCTACCCTGGACCTTCCTTGCTCTCTCCCAGGCCGGGCCCAGAAAACACTGTGTCTTACACAGAACCGGTTGGGCTCAGCCACGAGAACTTCTCCGGGCAGGGCTACCTGAGAGAGGAAAGAGAATCGCTGTGGTGTCTTTGTTTCCCTCCATCTTTGCTCTACCATGAAAGCCATTTTAACTCTCTAGCTGGAGCAAAGGGGAACACAAAATCCAGCTAGCTCCGTGAGACATGGTGCCTCTCCTCTACCATCTCAGTAAAGCAAAGCTTCCGCGACACCTTCCTTGCGGAACCGCTGCTCTCAGGAGGGAAGCGGGAGCCGGAGTGTGATTGGCGGGGGCACCCTCCCCCCAAGCGATACCACAGGGAACGTGTCCCTGACCCAACAGGAGCCCACGAGGATGCGTGCTGTGGGTGCGCCCCGTGTGGCTTCCCGAACTGACTGATAGGAGGCAGCCTGCGTCACAGGAAGATGGTGAGGGAGCACGCACCGCGCTGATGTGCAGAGGCCGGCTCGGGGTGGAGCTCGCTGCTTACGGGGCAGTGGCTCAGGGTACAGAGCCTCCTCCAAGGGCCAGTCTGCCCCCCAAACTCCTGTCCCTAAGGCCTGCGGCTACCCAGCGCCTGCTCCTGTCCAGAACCATTTTCGGTCAAATACAAAAGACCTTAGCATCCTGGCTGCTGCCGGAACAGGTGCACTTTGGGCTGATTCACTGAGTGAATGCCCCGCCTTGATCTAAGAGCAGAGAAGACAGGAAATGGAGATGTGGAAACTCCAAAGGGGCAGACACTGGTTGCAGCTATTAGCTACTGCTTGGGAACCCCACATCCCATATGGGAGTGCCTGGTCCCAGTTCCGCTGCTGATACAGTTTCCTGCTAATGCACACCCTGGGAGGTAGCAGGTGATGGCTCAAGAGCTTGGGTCTCTGCCATCCATGAGAGACCCAGTTTGGGTTCCTGGTTCCTGGCTTCTGGCCCAACTCTGGCTGGTATAGCATTTAGGGAGTGAATCAGTGTATGGAAGCTCTAACAAAATAAAAATAAATTAAAAAAAAAAAAAAACTAAAGCAGACAGAGCAGGACCCTATATTATGTTTTGCTGGTCCAGAGACAAAACTATCTGTCGGCAAAAACTGCAGAAAGAATGGCTGGTTGTTAGAGCTACCTAACCAGAGAATATTCTGGCTCTTTCCAGGTGAAGGGTGCTCAGTGGGCGGTAGCTCCAGAGCAGAAGGCCCAGCGCCAGGCAGGAGAGAACAGTGAGTAAGGCTTTAGGCTCCACCCCGACTCTAGGAGGGCTGCAGTATCACCATGACCAACCAGAGTATAATAAATACAATGAAGCTACTCTCAAGTAGGGAGGACCCCTCCTCCTCGGAGGGCTACAGTACCAGGAGCCTGATTCTGAACCGTGTGGAGAAGGATGGGGAGGAGCTGAAATGTCTCCTCCCAAACTGGCTAGGAAGGAGAGAGCCACACTGCAGAGATCCCCCCATAGCTCTTCTCCCCCTTCTCCCCTTTCTCAAAGTTAACAGTACTTGTCCTCTTGAGCCACAGGATCAGCTCAGAAAGTGGAAACTCTGGTTGATCATCCTACCACTATACCACTATTCTTATCCCAGCAAGATGCAACCACATTTTGCATCAGGGGCTGGGCTGTGGAGCTGTGGTCTGCAGTGCCCTTGATCGGAACCTATCCCCAGCTCATTCCCACACCCGGGGTAGAAAGCACAGCACACAAGGTGTAGGAACAGGGGGAGAGCATTTGGCCCAGGGGTTGTCACTTGGGACACGCGTCTCACATTACGGTGCCAGGGTTAGAATCTCAGCTCTGCTTCCAACCTACGTGTACTCTGGGATTCAGTGGTGAGGGCTCCAGCAGCTGGGTCCCCGCCACCAACACGGGAGATCCACATAGAGTTCTGGACTCCTGGCTCTGGCCTGGCCCAGCCGTGACCCAGCCCTGGCTGTTGTGGGTATCTGGAGAGTGACCCAACAGATAGAAGCTCTTTCTGCCTTTCAAGTACATAAAATATGTATTCCAAAAAAATAATAAATAAGGTATATGAATAATAACATGTCCTGCAGCATCAACTTTAAGATTTGGAATGAACATGGGTCTGTTCTATTTGTTCATATCAACAGAACATCATGGACGATAAAGCAATGTTTAAATATTTTAATGTTCCAATGCAAGATTCTGAAGTGCTGCCTTCCACGGTGGGCATGTAGATGTACAGTTTCTTGAGGGAACAGATTCCTTCTTCTCCATAGTAAGATACTCTGGTAGAAAAGCTCAAGATGCAAAAATTTACTGTACGACCTGCAGACGGCAACCCTTCCCTCCTCTTTGGTTTTCCTACATGAAGTCTAGAGATGAATCAGAAGGAAGCATTTTGCCCAAGGCCAGCTGTGCTCACAAGCTCCGAGAAGGACCCCAGGGGATTTCAGGGCTGGCCTCTGGCTCAGAATCTTTCCTGGCTCACATGACTTCCAGATCTCTCAGACAGACGTGTAAACGGGTTCATCTTCGCATTCTCCCCCAGGCCCAAACACTGCAAAACTGTGTATAAGCACAGAGGTACAGGAAGCCGTTGCAAACCCCTTATACTCAAAGCACAGAGTAGTCATGAGAGCTTCCCATCGAGTCCCTGCACGCACACTTCCATAGGATCCGGGAGACAGGCGAGGCGGGCGGCTTTCTGTATGAGGCTTGAGAGGTGTGCAAGAACACCCTGCGCCACCACGCAGCCACAGTGGCTGAGGCTTCAGGCACGGCTCTCACAGCGTTCATGTAGGCCCCCAACTAATACGTGGGGAAGCTGAGGACCAAGGCTGCGAAGGCTGCTTGCGCTGACTCCCTGGCTTGCTAGCAACACAACTGAGATTCACACACAGGTCTGATACCAAAGACAGATTCTTTTTTTCACTGCAAGTCTTTTGCCATTGTTTCATTCTGCAGCCTCCTTAGACTTTCCCTTATTTGCCTTTCTTTAAACAAGACCCTTTTCTATTACACTAATTACCCGATAGCTGCCTATACACTTCTAGGTCAGTATGAAGTGTTAATTTCCTATTAGCAATTGTGACAATGGGCTTAGGGTGTCAAATGAGTGGCTGCTCTGTTCTCATAGAATCTTCTGCTGTGTTGAGATAATTTCACTGCTGTTAGGGCCTAATCGATGCTCCAGCTGTCCGTAGGAGTCTGACACAAAAGCACCCACGGATCAGTCAAACCAATCTAAGCTCTAGCATTTACAGCTCTCTTTCCTTAACAGGTGCAGTTTTCCGGGCACAGCTGGAACTCTGCTTACTTGTGTGTAGCGGGGCAAGGTTAATAGCCACACTAGAAGTAGCCTAAATCTTCCCTACAGTAAGACACGAAGGGCCTTGGCTGCTCCTATTACACTCAGACAAGCCACAGCGCCCCTGTCAATCTGTCCTGGGTAGAATAAAATAGAAAGCAAATGACCCTAGTTGATTTTTTTTTTTTCTGACATCTCAGGATACAGATATAAGGCAATTTATTCAAGAATAACATATCACCACATACATCTTTTTGTGGTTAAAAAAAAAAAAAACACATGACCATGGATTCTCCCCCTCTCTCTTTTCTGCATCTCTCAATTTCTGAAACCAACGGTTCGCTTCGCTCTCTCGCTGCGCACGCACTTTATCTGACCCCTTTCGTGCAACATCGCTGTCATTTCTTGCATGTTTCTGCTGATGACTCGCTTCTCCACTGCGCGCCCTTGCTAACTCCTGCTCCTAAGCCTGCAGCCCTCTCCGAGTCAGCTTCAGTGCTCACTGCAGATAGGCAGGGAGCCAATGTATTGCCAATAGCACTCACTCTTGTGCTGACTTAAAATACACAGAGCAACTTGCCAGGTTTCCTTATTTGGCAAGAAGGTCCCTTAGTTCCCAAGATCTTTGACCATCCATTTTTAGATCCAAATCCACATGCTGAATATTTGGATACTACTTTCCCTGTGTCTCTCTCTTCAATGTGTCCTTATGCATTCCCCAAAAGAATAAGAAATCCATCATCTAGTTTGCTTCCTAAACAAGAAAAGCACATCCCCTTGCCATTGTAGTTTGGTGATTTACTCTGCAATTACTACCACTAAAACTTGTTTTAAACAACATTTTTCAGTTCAAAAACAAAAACCCTCAAAATAATCCTGAAGTTATAGGAGGAATTAAATGGTGGAGGCCCAAAATAACTAGAGCACATTCTCCAAAAGACTGTTTCTTTTATTTTAATGCTCTCTTTTCAAACAAATGAAATTCATATTCATTTGCAAGCTCCCAAATCGCTCACTATTGTAACAAGAATTTAAAACAAAGGCTCTCCACAAATGACCAAAACCATAATTAAAGCACAGCCGTCACATTTGGGGGGTAGGGGGGATGAGGTGGGAAAAAAACAACAACAACAAGAAATGCCACTGCAGAGAGAGAGGCCTACTACAAAGAAGACATTAGCCGGTCTTGAATCACTGGTTTATTTTTGTCTCTCAACGCGTTTGTAGGTTTGGCTCCACGAAGCCTGGCTTCAGCGAAGGTCAGGAGAGCAAGGAGGCCCCCGAGCAGGGCGGGGGACACCTTCAGCCGCGTCCCAGCCCAAACGTCCCGGGTGCGCCGGGCCGAAGCCCCTGCACCGGGACTCGAGGGAGCGGGCTGCCGCACCGTCGCTGCCGTGGGCCACCAAACGCTGCTGCTTTCATTATCAAACTGCCCAAAATAGTAACTAAGTTCCCCCAGAAACGGTGCTTATGCGGCAATCTCAAGGAGCAGGCGAAACGTACGTTTCCAGCAACCCAACAGCGGCGCCCCGTTGTTTTTTTTATTTTTTATTTTTGCCTTTTTTAGGCGGCTCGATGACATTTCGACGGCTCTGAATCAAAGTTTTCCTGGAGCTGTCATGAGCCAGCCAGGCGTGGCGGGGGGACCTCGGCGGACCGCTGCGGACCCGGTGCAGGTCTCGGAGCCCACGCGCCCCGCGCCTCAGTGAGAGCCGGGAGGGAGCCGCGGCGGGCGGGCGCCGCACGCGGCCCGGGACGCGGCCGGAAGGGCAGGGGAAGAGGTCGCTCGGGTGGGAGCCGCCGCTCGCGGCCGAGTCTCACAGGGAAGCAGAAGTCGGCTGTCTGTCCTCGCACCCACGCACGCCCGCCCGTCCGTCCGTGGGAAGGGGCCCGCAGCCGGCCCGGATTCGGGAGACTCGCCTTTCGCCCCCCACCGAGAGTTCCCCGGTCACTCTCCGCCCGGCCGGCTCCGCCCGTACGGCCGGCCGGAGCCCCGGGCCCGGCCAGCGGGGCCGGAGGGCGCCCCCTGCCCGCGCCGCCTAAGCCCGGGCCGCCCCGGCCTGCGCCCGGCTCTTCCGGACGCCAACTTTTCCGTGGGACCGGCCCCAACTTCCCGGAGCCGCACTCGGCCGCGGGCCGGCGCGGGCCCCGGGATCGCTGGCTCCACACACCGCGGCCCGGCGGCCCCCGGGGGCCGGAAGAGGCGCCCCGTGGGGACCTGCAGTCCGGCTGGGTCCCCTGGCCCTTAGCAGGGCCTCCCTCGGCCCGGAGCCACCGGGACGACTTCGCGAGCGCGGCGGGGCCCTCTCCCTCCGTCCCTCCCTCGGTCCGCGGCCTGCAGCCTGGCCCCCTACCTGGCTCCCGGGCCGGACGCGAGCAGCAGCCGGGGGCGCGGAGCCCCGCGCGACGAGGGCGGCGGCGGGGGTCGGGAGGACGGCGGCCCGCGCGGCTCCCACGCTTCCGCCGGAGTCAGGAGTTGAACATTCCGCCTCTCCGCGCGGCGCCAATGAGCAGCACAGTGGCCGCAACAGCACCACCTACCTCCGAGCGCGGAACGGCCGCGCGCCGGCCCTCCCCGGCACGCCCGGGCCTCCGGGCCCGAGCGCCGGCGCCCGCCCCTCGGCGCGCTGGAGCCTGCCGAGGCCCGGGACGCCCGGAGCAGCGCGCTGGCCCTTTCGCTGGGCACCACCTTATCCCGACCGCAGACATAGGCGCTGGGGCGCCGGGGAAGTCAGTGCTGTAGTGGGGAAGGGGCAGACTCGCACAGAGCTTGCCGGGGGGAAACGGGGCCCCAGCCGCCTCCGTGGAACCACCCGTGAGTACCCCCGCAATTCTGAAGGGTCCAGGTTGAGGAGACAGAGCCAGGTGGGAGTGGACGCTGGGGACCACGGCGAGTGATTGTGAATTGTGGGGAGCGCGATGTTTCCGTAGGGGGACAGGCCAGACAGGTGGTGAAGGCGTAAGCCAGGCTGTCCCGGGTTTCGATCTTGACTTTTCTCACCCGTGAACACGGGGGAATTGTGCAAAGCGAGTCGAGGGGGAGGTGGCTGTTTGTGTTTTTAGCTTAGTGGGGGTTTAGCGCAGTCGGCTGTGGCTGTGCAGTGGGTTGCTAGGGGGAGGCACAGCAGTGCGACTGTTGCTGTGACCTGGTGGTGGGATGGTGAGGACCTGAGGCAGAGTGTGCAAGCTGGAATTGAAGAGGAGAAACATTGAGAGACCTGTTTCAGGAAGAGGCGTGACCCAGGACATGTGGAAGACAAGGAGAGAGGGAGAGGACTCCGCCAGGGTTTCAGGCCTGGGTGACTGGAAGAGGGATGGTGTCACTGACAGGAATAGGAACAGGGGACGCTGGCTTTTTGCCGAGTTTGAGGTCACCAAAGGAAAACCAGGTAGAGATGCAGCAGCCGAAACACCACACTGGCATTCAGAACACTGGCCAAGAGCACTGTTGTGCAGCTTGCAAGACATCCATGGAGGCTAAGGACGTGCAGTGGAGGAACGGGCGAATGTATAGGTCAGGAAAAACACAACTCTTTATCCCTTTGATACAGACTGAAGATTTTAGGATTATTAAATTCTATTTTGGTAACTGAGAAATTAGGATTGATAAAAACTGTCAGGCTAACAAAAAGTTCCTAATGTAGGTAATCAAATAATTGTTGAAGCCATCTAACCATAAAAGGGAAAACAAAGGCACTTCAGCACGTTCAGCCCGGGCTCAGGCTTAGGGATTCTGCAGGCATTTTACCTTACCTTCCAAGGCACCTGACCAGGAGAGGGTTGGGGAGCCAGGGGACCTGGCTGTGGTCTGAGTCCTAGCAGTTACCAGCGGGGCACTTGCTGCCTAGGCCTGGCTCCTGCTTGGCGAAGTGAGGGGGCCTAATGAGCTGTTAGCTGCAGGTTCCAGCTATAAAACGATGAAGGCTTCACATTTGAAGCTCATGGCTTCAGAAGCTTAAACTTTTTGGCCACTTTACCGCTCCGTCCTACCCATCTTCCTTCCTTCTCCTTTCCACCCATAATTAGGATCAAAGAATAACTATGAGGAGCAATGAACGCCAAAGAGGAGGCTCTCAGACATGCTTGCCTGGTCATCCGGCAGGCATTGTCTTGTCTTCCCAAGTAGGTTGTAAATTCCCAAAGGTCTCTTGTCTCTGTCCAGAGCTGGAATAAACACCCAATAATTGTGTGATAAGCTTCCAGCTTCTAGCCTGACCTTTCTTTTGCCAAGCTGCCTGCTCCCTTATGACTACATTGTTCTGATAAATGCAGACTAGGGCTTCTTCCCATCAGTGACAAACCATGTTGAAGGTTTCTTTGCTACTTCTCACCTGGCAGATAACAGGTACATTTACTAACATAAACAGTGCTAACAAAGAGATCTAGTCAGACCTATCTTAGCAAACCTTCCTATTCCTTTACTTCAAATGTTTCCACACTAAAAATAGATGTGCTCTGGGCAGTGGGGTGGCTTGGAAGTTCTTCACACCCTCTTACATCCAAGAACACCCTGCAAAATCAACTTGCGATCTAAGTTAAACCAGTGTGTTTACTGTGTAAATACAGCTTTAGGGAAAAGCTCCTAAGCCCCACTCAAGGATACTGTTCTCCCTAAGCCCCTCTTCACTGGAAACCCTGGAGCTGCCACCAGCCATTAGTGGATCTGAGAAGTGCAGACATACATTCTATTCAAGACAGAAAGAAAGGGGCTCAGAGGCAAACAGCATTGTTTATGCTCCCTTGCCCCAGGTGGTGACAAGCTCTGGTACAGGCTGGCACCCAGGAGGACTTTCTCTAGCCATCTCACTTCTCCAACTTAGATGGTGAATACTTACTGTCTGCATCACAGCCACGAATTAACCAGCTTTTATACCAAGGTCAGTACAACTCTGAATCACTGGGAAATTAAAACACACAAGCAAACATCCTTTAAGATTAGTAGCCAGTACCTTAATATCATAAATGAAGCCCTGGTTACTGTTTGAGCTTAGCTGTTACAGAGATTCTCAGGAAGACTTGGATACCACCTTCATTGGGTGTCCTGGGGCATGACAGCAGTGGAAGGGCAGGAAGCGTATTGGAGATTTTGCAAAATGTATTCAAGAAGACTTGACTGACTGTAGGGCACAGCGCTGAGCTTTGTTGATGACAGTGGTGAGGGAGGTGTGGTCCCTCCTCTTCCAGAGTTCCCAGAGTGCAATGGAAAAGCCAGCAAAGACACAGCAATTGTATTGAGGTGTGCTCTGCAGCAGGCAAGGGTGAGGGGCTTACAGGAGGGCACCAAACAGTTTTGAGAGGTTGATGAAGACTGCCAACTCAAAGAAGCTCTATGCTGATACAGGAAGAACGAAGAGGATCCGCTGGACAACAAGGAAGGGGAAGTATGCCGGGCACAGGGACCAGCAAATGCAGACCCCAAGGAACGACACCACCAGAGCAATAGTCCTTGTGTGGCAGCGATAGTGGCAGCAGTGACATACTCATGATGATGACAGACACGGCCAATATTGACTGAGTATTCAAATGCCGTGCACCCAATAACAGTTTTACACGCTCTTGCCATCTAGTCTTCACACTGCCAGGCAGCTTGCACGTCACCCACACCATAGGGCAGGAGAAAGCCTTGAGAAGCGTGCACAGCTTGCCTGCCTTCAGGGTGCAGGAGGTAACCAGCAGGGCTTGTTCTTTTAGTTCAAGCCGTTCCCCAGCGTTTTGCTCTCAGGATTTCTTTATACTCCAAAGAAAGGTTTCAACTGGTTTTTGTTTGTGTGAGCTACCCCTGTCAACATTTATCATGGAAATGAAAATGGAAGGGGCAGGTGTTGTGGCACAGCTGGCCAAGCTGGGGCTTGTGACACCCGCATTCACATCAACGTGTCTGGCTCAAGTCCTAGCTGCTCTGCTTTCCATCCAGCTTCCCAGTCCTACACTCAAGAGGCAGCCGACGATGCTCATGCATTTGCCACTCATGTAGAAGACCCAGATGGAGTTCCTGATCCTCGGCTCTGGCCTGGCCCAGCCCTGGCTGTGGTGGGCATTTGGGGAGTGAAACAGAAGACACAAGATCTCTATGTCTCTTCTGTGTCAGTCTGCCTTTCAAATAAAGTAATATTTTTAAAAAATTAAATATTAACTCATTTAAAACACAATAAGCCCACTTATGCTAACATATATAACATGTTTTACTAAAAAAACTATTATCCAAATTTTTAAAGATTAACAGTGTCATTATTTTAGACTTCTGAAAATCTCTTTAAGATTTTTTTCATTGGAGTGGGTGTTGTGGCACAGCACATCCCATATTGATGGTCATGTGGGTTGACAAAGGCCTACTGATCCAGTCTTGAGTCCTGTTCACTGTTCACTCCACCATTGTTTGGTGCTATTCTCCTCTAAATTTCTAATGTCAAATTTGTATGAGTTATAACTGAGCTTATCACACCCTTTCAGCACTGAACCGGGCTCTCTCTCCTGTTCTGCAAGAAAACGCATACATTCCTTCCCCAAGGACTTGAGCATTGATAGGATTTCCTGACAGAATCTGGTAACCTTTGACTGTGAACACGAGGCCAGCATGGATTCAGGGAAATCAAGACGTGCCCAGGGTTTTCACTGGAATCACAGAGAACAGTGTGGGTTGGTTTCAGGAAACACTTGACCTAGTTTCTCGGGCTGGCTTTATCAGCCAGGAGACCACAAAGATGACAGCACGATACAGATCCTTGCTATCAGGCTGAAACCTGAGCCACGAGTGCTGTTGCATGGGCTGATGCTCTCATAGAGAAGGGCTTCCAGTGGTAGGTGGCTGGCTCTCATCTCTCTCCTGCACATCTCAGCAACTTAAATGAAGGCCTGGTGGCATGCATATCTAATAATGTGAATTTAGAAGGAACACCTAATGAACCAGGTAGAATACCTTTGCTCAGAAACTTCTACTGATGCCTCACTACCTATCACATGGAATCCCTCCTCCTTAGGAGGCATTCAAAGCCTGCATTGGCTAAACCAAATTTTGCTGCCCAGCATCACCTCCCATCTTTGCAGGCCTCTTGCTTGCATGAAACTGAACCACAAGCCTTCCAATCTCCACACTTCCCTCCTACAATTTCCTTCTTCTAAAACTCTATTGCTGGGGCCGGTGCTATGGCATAGCAGGTAAAGCCACTGCCTGCAGTGTCGGCATCCCATATGGTCACCAGCTCAAGTCCCGGCTGCTCTACTTCTGATCCTGCTCTCTACTATGGCCTGGGAAAGCAGTGGAAGATGGCCCAAGTGCTTGGGCTCCTGCACCCACATTGGAGGCCTGGAAGAAGCTCCTGTCTCCTTGGCTTCAGATCTGCAGCTCTGGCCATTGTGATCATTTGGGGAGTGAGCCAGCAGAATGGAAGACCTCTCTCTCTGGCTCTACCTCTCTCTGTAACTTCTTTCAAATAAATAAAATAAATCTTAAAAAAAAAAAAAAACAAAAAAAAAACTCTATTGCTTTCCAGGCCCAGCTAAAATGCTTCCTTTCCTCAGAGCTGTTTCCAATTCTTTTCTCCCTTAGAATCTCATGCTACTTTCATATTATAAAAATCTTTTTGATTTTCCCCCATAACATTCTTATCAATGTGCCTGTCATTCCCTTCTCTTTACATTTTCTTATTTCGGTGTAAACTCACCCAACTGACATAGAGCACTACTTGCAAGCCCTTGATAAATATTTAATGAAGAAATGAATAAAGGAACAGAACTTCATAATTGGATTATGGTTCCAGTAGCCACATTGAACTCTCTCAGTACTTATTTAAGAAAGAGGACAACAACTAAATCTGTATGGATACGGATTCTGTGGTAGACATTTTATTAGAACTTTTGCAAGTGTATCATTTAATTTCTTCATTTTTTCAATCCATGAAAGAGGAATTGAGTTATCAGATATTTTATTAAGTAGCTTGCTCAATATCATTAAGATAATATATGGTGGTTTTGATATATAAATAAATTCTGATCTGTCTGGTTCAGTGGCCCACTTTCTTCTTATTGTACTGTATATCGTGAGAAATGTAGACATTTTTGGTAAATAAATAGGCTATGGAAGCAGCTATCTGTGTCTCTAAACCTTTTTCAAATATTGCTGAAAAGTGTCCTAAATTGCTAAAAATTTGATATTCTTTTTTTTTTTTTTTTTTTTTGACAGGCAGAGTGGACAGTGAGAGAGAGAGACAGAGAGAAAGGTCTTCCTTTGCCGTTGGTTCACCCTCCAATGGCCGTCGCGGCCAGCGCGCTGCGGCCGGCGCACCGCGCTGATCCGATGGCAGGAGCCAGGAGCCAGGTGCTTTTCCTGGTCTCCCATGGGGTGCAGGGCCCAAGCACCTGGGCCATCCTCCACTGCACTCCCTGGCCACAGCAGAGGGCTGGCCTGGAAGAGGGGCAACCGGGACAGAATCCGGCGCCCCGACAGGGACTAGAACCCTGTGTGCCGGCGCCGCTAGGCGGAGGATTAGCCTAGTGAGCCGCGGCGCCGGCCCAAAATTTGATATTCTTAAGACATTTGTTCATAACCAGGAAAAAGCCCATTTTTTCCCACAATATTTTGAACTTTTTAGTACAATTTATTGAAATAAAATTTACCAGCTAAATAGCCTAACTACAAAGTGTTCATATCCATTTAGATAAGATGATACCAGAGTTTTAAAATGTCAAGGGCTGGGCCGGCGCCGTGGCTCAATAGGCTAATCCTCCACCTTGCGGCGCCGGCACACCGGGTTCTAGTCCCGGTCAGGGCGCCGGATTCTGTCTCGGTTGCCCCTCTTCCAGGCCAGCTCTCTGCTATGGCCAGGGAGTGCAGTGGAGGATGGCCCAGGTGCTTGGGCCCTGCACCCCATGGGAGACCAGGAAAAGCACCTGGATCCTGGCTCCTGCCATCAGATCAGCGCGGTGCGCCGGCTGCAGCGGCGGCCATTGGAGGGTGAACCAACGGCAAAGGAAGACCTTTCTCTCTGTCTCTCTCTCTCACTGTCCACTCTGCCTGTCAAAAAAAAAATAAATAAAAAATAAAAAAAAAAATAAAATGTCAAGGGCTGGTATTGTACTGAAATGGGTTAAGCTGCTGCCTGCAATGCTGGCATCTCATCAGAACAATGACCGGAGTCTCAGCTGCTCCATTTTTGATCCAGCGCCCTACTAATGGCCTGGGGAAAGATGGCCCAAGTGCTTGTGCCCTTGCCACCCATATGGGAGACCTGGATGGAGTTCCAGGCTCCTGGCTTCCACCTGGCCCATCCCTGGCTGTTGCCACTCTTTGGGGAGTGAACCAGTAGACGGAAGAAGGTCTCTGTCTCTCTCTCTTCTCTGTAACTCTGCCTTTCAAACAAATAAATCTTAAAAAAAAAAAAGTGTTGAATTAATGATTTCAGACTGCTTTGTCATAGTTAATGGTTAAGAGCAGAGGCTCAAACTCTCATAAAGAATATCTTCTTATGTAAGGATAACCCCCTAAACAGTACTGAGTATTCAAGAAAGATGATCCCCAGGAGGAAAGAGCTCTCTGTACACAGGCTTTCAATTCCTCCACCACTGTTGCCACCCAGCATCCATAACTCTTGGGATTGCTCTACACCAGTTCTCATAGTTGCATCTGGCAAACAAGAATACCCTTTGGGGCCAGTACTGTGGCACACAGTGGGTTCAAGACATGGCCTGCAGCACTGGCATCCCATATAGACACTGGTTTGAGTCTTGGCTGCTCTGCTTCTGATCCAGCTCCCCGCTAATGCACCTGGGAAAGCAGCAGAGGATGGCCCAAGTCCTTGGGCCCCTGCACTCATGTGGGAGACCTGGAAGAAGCTCTTGGCTCCTGTCTTCACCCTGGCCCAGCCCTGGCCATTGTGGCTGTTTGGGGAGTGAACCAGCAGATGGAAGATATATCTCTCTCTGTAACTCTGCCTTTCAAATAAATAAATAAATCTAAAAAATAAAAATAAAAAAAAAAGAATACTCTGCCTCCATCACAGGTGCAGTGGTAGCAGATTCTACTCAAAAACAACACTAATGTAATCTAAAAGAAAGCACACACAACACATTTACACAACCATAAAATGCTATGGAAAGAGCCCAGGTTCTGAATGAGGCTTCAGCTTTAATAGATCCAATAAACAGAGGTGAGCATTCATCCTCAGGGAACTATATCTCAGCCTCCGGTGGGTTGGTAAAACATTATAGATAAATTATTTTCTTACTGACTGCAGAGCTTTCTGCATAAATCAAATTCTCAGCCCAACCTTATAGACATTCTGAGATGTCAATGACATAATCCCCCATGACATTCAGTTATACCACTAATTTCTTGGATTTAGGCACAAGCAGTAGGGAAGGGGAATTCTTCTATCTACTAATTTCTGGAAGACCACTAGTTATATTTAATAACATAATTATTAATTGCATTTTATAATCACTCATAAATAATTGAATGACATCACCTGACATTCACATAAAATTTTCAGGTATCTGGATATTTTTCATGGCTCCTTTTCATTATAAACATGATTAAATAATACAAATACATTATCATTTGAGGTGTCCTCAAAAGTAACCTCTTTTTCTTCTATAAGTATTTTTAAAAATTACTTATTCACAGGGCTGGCGCTGTGGCACAGCGAGTTAAAGCCCTGGCCTGAAGCACCGGCATCCCATATGGACGCCAGTTTGAGTCGCAGTTGCTCCACTTCCAATCCAGCTCTCTGCTATGGCCTGGGAAAGCAGTGGAAGATGGCCCAAGTCCTTGGGCCCCTGCACCCAAGTGGGAGACCTGGAAGAAGCTCCTGGCTCCTGACTTCGGATCAGCTCCGGGACATCTGGGGAGTGAATCTATGGATGGAAGACCTCTCTGTCTCTGCCTCTCTCTGTAATTCTGCCTTTAAAGTAAATAAAATAAATCTTTTAAAAAATACTTATTCATTTATTATCTTTATTTGAAAAAGAGAGAGAGAGGAGAGAGAGATCTTCCATCATTGTTTCACTTCCCAAATGCTCACATAGCATCAATCCAGGCCTCCTATGTAGGTCCCAGGGACCTAAAAATTGAGCCATCACCTGTTGCCTCCCATGGTGTCATTAGAAGAGAGGTAGACTAGGAAGTGGAGCTGGGACTTGAGCCCAGGCACTCTGATATGGAATGCGTATATCCCAACCAGCATTTTAACAGCTATACTTGAAGGCTGCTGGTGTGCATATTGTTTTTGTTTTAACTGATACAACCAGCCCCTGTATTTTATTCATCTTAATCACCATGAAAAATCGACAAGTAAGCAATATAGTTCCTCTGTTCTGCTCCAGATGGAGCTGGGGAGTATAGCAATGACCACGTCCTAGGACCTGGGCCAGAACCTCTCAAATGTGGATTTACCGTTTCATACTCTGAAAATCTTAGTCCAATTTCAAAGTTGCATTTCTTGTAGATTACTCTTTCTCAAGTTGAAATTTATCCAACGAATATTTCCCAAGTTTTCCTTGCTTTTTTTTGTTGCCATCATTGTTTTTTACTAACTTTTTAACGTCCATTTGTATTAAGCCTTTGTCCACATTGTTGTTTGTAACACCTTCCAATTTAGTAGCATCTGCAAATTTCATTAACATGCTATTTACTCCCTCTTCCAGATCATTAAAAAATGCTATTTCTTATGTATTAAATTTTGCGGTCCAATAGATTTAATTTGCTGTTGTAATTTCAGTGCGTGTTTTCTAAAGACACAATGCAGTTAAGAATGGTCTTAACATAGGCTTAAATCCATACCCAGTTTATAGTTATTTTACTATTATGCAATCCATTTGTGTTCTCTAATCAGCACTGTTGTGAGCTCCGTTGAAGCCATAATCTATTGATTTTCTCTTCCCTCTTTTTCAATACAGTTATCATCTTGGCTTTAAATGCACAGCAACAGCAGAGTTAGAACCATTGTTGTACTCTAATCCACAGCTATTTATAAAAGGAAATTAAGTCTTTGTTTTCAGTGGATAGTCTTCCGCTGATTTATGAAATGTTCTACATTAAGAAGTTTATTTTATAACCATAATATTTGATTTTCTCATGCAGAGTATCAGTGCTCTAAGAAATAGATTCCAAATCTTTTAGACAAGTAAATATATATTTAAATGTTTTATAGACTTATATAAAATATATTTACATACGTAAAATAGGAGTGTGTGTGTGTGTAGTTTAAATAGTAGTTTAATTCACTGATTTCCTGACTACATAGAATCTAGGTTGCTTTTATTTTTTATAACAGGCTTAGACACGCCACCTTCACATCAGAGAATGAGGTTCATTATAGCTTTGCGTTACCCTGTGTCACACACCATCCTCATTAGGCCTTATAGCATCAGTTACCATTTCCAATGAGATGAGGCTTCCTACAAATCACTTAGTGCAATACTTATGCTCACATATTGTTATTTTAATTCATTACCCATAAGGTTAGTCTTGTTGTTTCTATATAATATTTCCAGGAAATATTTTCTTTCCTTACTTTCTCAGACTTTCTCATTTCTAAATAGTGTTAAGGTGATCCCATAGTAATCTTTTCTTTTCCCCTTTGAGAAATTAATTTCCAACCCTGAGTCTCCCCATCCCCAAGTTGTTCCTGATAACTTTCCTGTCCATTCCAGGATGTTATTGTCAAGTTCCATCAAGGTAATTTATGTGAAAGTGTTTTCTAAGTAATATAAAATCAAACAAATGGCATCGTTTTGTCTGAACATATTAAAGGAAAATAGAGATATTCATTTCATTGTGAAATGAAAACTCTATTTCTAGATTTTTCCATGTCAGACTTTCAGTAAATGTCAGAAGACACGCTATCTTTTCATATTTGACTTTCAGTACAATTGAGGATGTGTCTCAGAGAAAAAGTCTTCATTTTCGAATTTCTCTAACAACATATAATTTTATATTCCAGATTTTTAAATAATTCTATAGTAGACTTCTGGGTTAAAAAAAAAAAAGGCATCATGGCCGGCGCCGTGGCTCACTAGGCTAATCCTCCAACTGCAGCGCCAGTACACTGGGTTCTAGTCCTGGTCCAGGCGCCAGATTCTGTCCCGGTTGCCCCTCTTCCAGTCCAGCTCTCCGCTGTGGCCCAGGAAGGCAGTGGAGGATGGCCCAAGTCTTTGGGCCCTGCACACGCATGGGAGACCAGGAGGAAGCACCTGGCTCCTGGCTTCAGATCAGCGCAGCACCAGCTGTGGCAGTCATTTGATGGGTGAACCAATGGAAGGAAGACCTTTCTCTCTGTCTCTCTCTCTCACTGTCTAACTCTGCCTGTCAAATAAAAAAAAAAAAAAAGTCATCATCAAACCAAGTAAACTCGTTTTCCTGTACAAAACTCTTTTGGATTTTTCAAATTGTTTTTGAAGCCTTAAAAGAGTCGACTTTTTGTTGAAAACACTAATTGGGTTATCAGTGTAAGTCTCCATCCAGGGAAACTCATGTTGTGTGAATGTGGGAGATCCTGTAGCGTTGGTTCTTGAGGTGGACTCCTCAGTCCCCATGCCCTTCTCCCATCCTCCTGAGGTGTTCCACTCTTCTCCACACCAGCCACGTTTTTCAACAATCCTGCCCATGTTCAACCTTTTCTTTCAAAATGGTCTCCAGCCCCCCATAATGATAAAGTTGTTATCATTGGTTTCTTTGTCTGTGGGAGAGAGAAAAATCAAACACATGTAAGTACATGGTAGGAAGTAGAGGTAGTAGTTTGCATGGCAGCTCAAACTGACTAATTCAGAAGTACTTCCATGGAAGGAACATTCCATCAGAGTGAAGAGGAGCACAGAGCTAATCCTCTGATGAGCTTGTGTAAGCCCTTCTTCCTTACATGTGCAGACAAGTACATTTTTTTTGCCACAATTATTTAAGTATTATAATAAAAATTCTCCTTACAGTCAGATGTTAGGAAAAAATAAAAAGAGTTGAAATAACTGGATAACTGCTTTGGTTTTCACTTTGTTAAATAGAGCAAACCTTACCAAATCTTTATGGTAGACATTTCAAAGTAATTGCCAGTCAGATTTGCAAAATTCTATGGATTTATTTCAATTGAGTAATCAAAATTCAACCGTGCTTAGCCTGCCTCCACCTGTCCCAACGACCAGTTTATCTGGATAATTTGCCATGCAAATTAGTGACCTAACCCTCCAACAAGTTTCAGTATGCCAGATTGCATCGTCTTTTAGCTATGACCAGCATCCCTAGCCTTGCAGGAAGTTGCCTTAGACATACCTCTAGATGGTTCCAATTATTTCTAGTCGTGATGGCTCTGGATTACAATAAGTCTACTGTTGATGTCTCGTTACAGAATGAAGCTCATAGGTATTCCTGAGGTCCTTGCCTGATTTCAGCTTCCGAGTAGCTTTTTCTGAAGTTTATGCAGATGGGAACCAAATTCAAACTCTCACATTTTCCCAGACTTTTAAGCAAGTCAGGATAGACCTTGAGTGGTCTTATTACAAGAGACCTTGATAACTTGATGGATCCCTAGGATAAATGCTAATGAGGACTTTCAAGTGTGTGAAACTCAGAAGGCATTATAGAATAGGGACTAAGAGCATGGGCTTTAGAATTAGATAGATCTGGATTGAAGCATGGGTCTGATATATATGAACTTGGGACCTTGGGTATTTTACTGAGACACTCTGAGTCTCAATTTCTTCATCTGTAAAATGGGTATAGTATTCAGTTTTTCTCTTGGGTCAAATAGGTGAATATGTATACAGCACACTTGATAATAGAAATAGCCCAGATGCTAGCTAGCTATTATTATTACTATTATTAGTCATGTTCTACATGCTAAATATTTGCTATTATTATTGGTATTGTTGTTATTTGGCAACATGAAATATTTCTATTTCCTCTGGATTTAGTTTTTCCCTGTGTTTCTCTTTATATTTCTATTTAATAGCACCGATTTTCTTAGACATCTCTAGTGATTGTTAGTTACTGTTATTTGTAAGAATGAAGACTTTTGTTGACTATTTTTGGTAGCTGGCATGGATTTTCTCTGTTATTCTGAAACAGATTTGTCTTCTATAGGACAGTTCCCTAAATAGGAATGTTTAGTCCATGGCAGCCCTATTGACAAGTTTTCTTTAGAGTTACACACACACACACACACACACACACAAGTATGCATTCTCGGTTGGCTCAACCTTGTGGTAGAGTTAGTGGTATCATACCTTGGGCTTTTTCCTATCTAATTTGGTGAAGTTATAACATGTATGGCTAATGAATAAATGTGAGGATTGGGCTGGAGTTGATGAGAAAAGTGCCAGGAAGGTTAATTCACTGGATAGATTATTTTAATTAATTAACTGACTTCTTTTGTCTGAGAGGCAGAGAGATGAGAGAGAGAAGAGAAAGAGAGCTAGAGAGAGAGAAAGCACCCATCTGCAGGTTTTCTCCCCAAATGCCTGCAATGGCTGATGCTGGACGGGGTAAGGGCAGGAGCCAGAAACTCAGTCCTGGCCTTCCGAGTGGGTAATGGAGGTCTGACCGTTCACACCATTACCCACCCCCTCTGTGTCACTTGCTGGAGTCAGGAGCTAAGCTGGAGCCTGAACCCAGCTACTTCAGCCTGGGATGCGGACATCCCAAAGAGCATCTAAATGCCTGCCCCTCACCAAATATCTAAAGGAAAGTTTGGCTGTAGCTTGAGAGGACTTAAAGGAAATGATCAGTTACCAAGAAGATAAAGATAAGGAGAAGGTTAGGGAATGGTAGATGTTCTTTGGCATTATAAAGGGCATCAAAAATATCAGTACAGCCTCTGAGGATCTGCCAAAACCAGCCAGGGGAAAACCTACTGCTCACAGGCATGCTATGAGCTAGGGGACGCTAAGAGAAAGGCAGAGCGACAGCAATGCATATTCTGGGAATCTGTCTCCTAGGTAAATGCAATGACTTAGTGAGACCTCCGAAGCCATGGAGGCATCCCCACGCTGAGAATACACTTGAGCCCGGCAAACCAGCGAAATCTTTGCCATTTCAGCCTTTTCTTCCCTTCCCTCCCCAGTATCTGAAATGAAAAATAACAGGAAAGAGATCTATAGCTCCTGATCTGATTATGACACCCACCCTTAGGAAGGAGAAGTAGCCAGTTGTGCTTTTAAATTCGACTACTTTCTCCATTTGATATCATAACTGCTGTTTTATTCGGCCATTCACAGTACTCGTCTAGAGAGGAGGGCCCCTGGGAGTAGCAGTCTTCTATTCGCTCAGTACAAGTGTATTGTCAGCCTCAGTCAAGGCTCAGAGTCTCAAGTTGGAACTAGAAGCGATGAGAAAATCAACTTGGTCTCCATAGAAAAGAAAACACGACCTCAGGTCTCCAAGGCTGATCTACAAACTTGAGGGGCTAGAGAAAACTGGGAGGAGAAGGAAGAGTCTATATGGCTGGTAGCAAAGAATGACTTCAAGACAAGATGTGCCCAACAAAGATATTTTTAAAATAAAACACCCTGGGGCCGGTGCTGTGGTACAGCAGGTTAAAGCCCTGGCCTGAGGCGCCGGCATCCCATATGGGCACCAGTTCTAGTCCTGGCTGCTCCTGTTCTGATCCAGCTCTCTGCTATGGTGTGGGAAAGCAGAAGATGGCCCAAGTCCTTGGGCCCCTGCACCCACGTTGGAGGCCGGGAGGAGGCTTCTGGCTCCTGGTTTCGGGTCAGCGCAGCTCCAGCTGTTGTGGCTATCTGGATGGAAGACTCTCTCTCTGTCTCTACCTCTCTCTGTAACTCTTTCAAGTAAATAAAATGCATCTTTAAAAAATAAATAAATAAATAATAAAATATTCTGAGGTTCTGTAACGGAAACTGCTTCTCCATGTTTTCTACAAAATAGTCAGTAAACAGAGACTTGTATAGTCGGACAATTGGCAAAATCCATTTTTAAAGAGATAAGGCATAGAGGGTAAGGTACAGAGAAGCCACTAAACCAAAGAGAAGGGGCATCTCAAACACAACGGAAGCTCCTGCTGGAATAGGAGTGGAGCCTTCCCAGCGAACACAGGGAAATGAGAGCTCCTGAGAAAGCAGAGGCTTTCTGTAGCTGGTATTTGGCATACCTGTGAACACACGGCATATTTATTTAGGGATACACACATACATTTCTATTTGAAAGGTGAAATTTCAGAAAAAAAAAAGGTCTCATATAACTTGCTTAAAACGACACTTACTGTGTTTTGGGAAAAATTAATCTCATGCTTTTGTTCCTGAATGTGTCTCTGTTATTTTTATTTTGTGACAATCAAGAACTTACATAATCATGTCGGCCAGGAGCAAAAAAATGGGCAGACAAAGCTCATAGCTGGCAACATCGGGTTTAGAATCTGGGAAACTTGGTTTCGGATCCTAACTCAGACATAAGATCCTTCATTTCTCTCAGTGTTTCCTCATCAGTAAGTCATGAGACCATTTCCCTCCTAGATATCGAGAGTAAAATCCTGTGTGTATGTATCTGACCTGAGCGGTGGCCCAACAGACAGACAAACAGCCTTGATTACTGAAACAAAATGGCCCAGAAAATTCTCTTCCAAAGCCAACTTTCAGAAAACCTTGTATTGAAACTGTATTCCTAGTGCCTCATTCCTCCCACCCCCCCAGCGATCGTCTCCTAGCACTCAATATATTTTCATACCCTGTGTTACAGACTTTGCTCAGGTGCTCCAAAGATGGTTGTTTTTCTAGTGCACAAACAAACCCTGCACATAAAGCCTATGATGCATCAGCATATCTCAGTTACGCCCTTCATCGCACCCCCCAGCAACTGTCTCAATGTTAACTTAATGTCATTCATCTACTTGCGGCGTTATTGAAAACGGAGACTTAATTAAAATGGCCCAGCATCACCTGGCTCACAGAGAGTGCCACATGCAATAATCCCTAATAAAGTGTATACTTTGGCTCCTACCTACAATTGAATTTCTGAAGCCAGAAATATCAGTGGATTTATAATGGTGTGTGAGTATTAGGTAGGGATAGATTGGTACCACTAATGAAGAGCAACTTTCTCAGGAGGAATATCATAGCAATGCATAATTGTTTCTAGGCTACATAGACTGAACGTGTAAATGAACACTCAGGGTAGGGGTTAAAATCCAACTTCTAGTGTGAACTATGAAATGCATGACTTGTGCTACAACTGGGTTTCATTTCTGTTCTGTAATATATGAATATTTTATCTTTTTTACGGTATTTCACTTTATTCTCTTCTGTTTCCACCTCCTGGCTCTTTTATATTTTTTATTTATTTGAGAGGCCCAGCAACAGAGAGAAAGAGAGAGCTTCCACCTGCTGGTTCATTTCCCCAAACGACTGCCATTACCAGTGGCCAGAGCTGAGAGCCAGGAACTCAACCCAGGCCACCAGTGTGGTCCAATCACTTGAGCCATCACCTCGGCCTCCCAAGGTCTATGTTAGCAGGAAACTTAGGTACTCCAGTGTGGCCGGTGGGTGTTTGAACCACTAGGCAACCTGCCCTTCCTTCTCCCACTCTTTCATTCAGTAATTTGAAATGTTTTCTAACACAAGAAAGTTTTCAAGCTGTGCACATTGGAGGGTGGGTCAGAGTCCCAGGCACTCTGCTTCCCATGTAGCTCCCTGTTAATGTGCCTGGGAAGCCTTGGATGATGGCCCAAGTCCTTGATTCCTACCACCCACCGGGGAGACCCAGATGGAGCTTCTGGCTCCTGGTTTCAGCCTGGCTCAGCCCTAGCGGTTGTGGCCATCTCGGGGAGTGAACCAGCCGATGGAAGATCCCTCTCTCTTTCTCCCTCCGTGCCTTTCACCTAAGTAAGTTAACAAGTAAATAAATAAATCCTTTGAGAGAAGAATTCGGTGCCCTGCTTCAATTATTGAAACAAACACTTTTCAAAACTGGTGCAACCCACGTTCAGACATGCATCTGACAGAACTCCTGAGAGCCCCTCCCTGCTGAGTCAACTCCAGAGCCTTAAAGCCCCCAGGTAGGTGTCTCTCCTTTTCTGTGCTTTTGTAATGGTTTGGCCAGAGACACCCAAGCATCCTTGAATGTTCTAAGGTACCTTTCATGTGGCCATTCATTCCAGCAGAGAGCGGGAAGGGCGATAGTATTTCTCCAGCACCGGGTAATTGGCGTGCCAGGTGCTTCATATACCTTCACTTTGACCCCCACTGTGGCCTTTGTGAGCGAGGCATTAGCATTCCGGCGGGCACATGTGGAATCTGAACCTCAAAGACCTTAAGATACTGGCCAAAGTTCACAGCAGAGAGCCTCCACAGGCCACGGTCAGGCTGCGGCACACGCTAGGACGCCCGCGTGGGCAGTGGCGGCTGTGGGGAGGGCTACCTCCCTTCCTGCTGTACGTCCTGGACATGGCTCCGGCTGAGTCAAACCCCAGATCTGGCTGACACTCTCTCTGCTGTTCCAGGCTGCTTCCCAAGAGCTACTAGATTCACCCAGGACATCAGGCAGCGCCCGGTCTGAAAAACTCTCCCCAGCAAGAGCCGTGGCCATTGCAGCCATCTGTGTCATGTGCTACCCTCGTTCTAACTGCAAACATGGCAACCACAGAACACAAAGAATGGGCTTGCTCAGGAATAGGAGCTCTCCAGCAACCTGGTTTGATACTTCCTGTACAGCTTCAGCTCCCCTGGGTTTCCACCCTCTGGCTCTTAGACAGGAAGTGCACCTTGGGCTCTCTGGATCTCTGGTCTGCTGGCCCACATGGCAGATTTGGGGCTGCCAGCCTCCGTAAGTGTGCGAGCCAATTCCTTATAATCAGTCTCAAAGGAAATGTGTTATAAGAAATTGGCTCATTCTTTTGGGCTGGTTTCCCTGTAGAATCCTGACTAATGCACACAGCAACGCCCGCCCTCACTGATACGCTTGGCCTTTCCCCTGAGCAATCTTTCTCTACCTCCTGAAGCCACTGCATCCTGGCTAGTGTGGAACCCAGGCCCCTCAGGGCCCCACTGGCTCCTGCCCTGAGCTCTTCTCCCTGATGGGGAGACAGAACCCTCAGTCGGTCCCTTGGCCCTAAAATATCCTGCCTGGAACCATCCATTTTCCTCCGTTCCTGTAGGTCCCTGCTGTCCTATCACCCCGGTGACTTTGGCCAGCTGCCTCCAGCTATGGGAAGGTTAGAAGCCGATGAAGGACTTGCGGTCCCCCTTAGTCTCAGCTGCTGCAAAACCTGTTCTGAAGAATTTTAGGCCGGTTTTGCTCGTTTTTCTGTTGCGTTGGTCACCCTACTGTAGACTCCTACTCTTTCTGGCTTTCCCTTGTCTATCAAGAGCCTTATCCTCCCATAAGGGATGCAGGGAGGAGCCAAGGGTCAACTGGGCAGGTGCCACATGCCCTGGTCATAGGCTTTCTCTCTTCCCCGCTCTGGAGAGGAACGCCGGTGCCCATGAGCTCACAGAGTGCTTACTTCCATTTAAAGCTGGGCTGTGGCCCCCATTGTTCAAAGTGTGGATCACACTGGGAACGAGGATCCTGGCTTCCAGCAGCACCCTTGTGGGACAAGCACACGCACGAGTTGAGCAAGGCACACAGTTTGCCCGGCCCCCTGCCCTTATCTTGTCAGAGTAACGTTCCCTCTGCTCCGTCTCTCCTGCAGTGTCACACAACAGGCCACAAACATCTGATCCAGCAACCATCAGGGCAGTAAGGGGGGACCGAGGTTGGCAAAGGAAGCCTCCCTGCTCCACACTTGGGCATCCACGTGCTGGGCACTGGGTCCCCTGGCCGCGACTTCCCAGAGCTGTGTCATTCACTGACAGCTGGAGTCTCCAAGGACGTCATGCAGGTAGCCATGGACTATGTTAAGTGCAGCTCATTAAGACAGCACGACCTCTGTGGGAAACAGTAGGACAGCTCCTCACCGAATGAAACGTGGAAATACCGTATGATTCAGCATCACCACTTCTAGGAACATACCCAAAAGAATTGAAAAGTTGGGCCTTGAGCAGGTATCAGTCCACCTGTACACGTAAAGCAGAACTACTATTCACAATGGTCAAAAGTAGAAGCAAATCAAATACCCATTGGTTGATGAATGGCTGAACGAAATGTAGCATATACATAAAATGCATTATTCAGCGTTGGTAAGAAGGAAATTCTGGCACACACTACAGCATGGATGAACCTTGAAAGCATTTCCCTAAATGAAACAACACAGTCACAAAAGGACCAATATGAGTACTGCATGATTCCATTTATATGAGGTACCCAAAATAGACAAGTTCGTGGACACACAAGTAGAAGAAGGGTTATGGGGGCTGGATGAAGGGGAAAATTGAAACTTAGGGCTTAATGGATAAAGAATTTTAGTTTGGGATATTGCAAAACTTTTATAGGGTGATAGTGACGGTGATGGTGACCCAACAATGTGAATATATTCAATGCCACTGAACTGCTCCCTCAAAAAGGGTTAAGATGGGGGCTAGCATTGTGGCATAATGGGTTAATCAGCTGCCTACAATGCTGGCTTCCTATATGGGTGGTGGTTCGAGTCCCAGCTGCTCTGCTTTCAATCCAGCTCTCTGTTAATGCACCTGAGAACACAGTGGAGGACGGCCCAAGTGCTTGGGAATCTGCTACCAGCATGGGAAACTTGGAGGAGGCTCCTGGCTTTGACCCAGCCCAGCCCTGGCCATTGAAACCAATTGAGGGGTAAATCAGCAGATAGAAGATCTCTCTATCTCCCCCCATTCCCAATGAGAACTCTGCCTTTCAAGTAAATAAAATAAATCTTTTTTTAAAAAAGGGTTGTGATAGACAATTTTATGTTCTATATATTGAAAAGTTAACAAGGGTCCAGTGAGCCATTAGGGGAAGAAACAGCATATGACGATGTGGGCATCGGCCCCGCTGCAGCTTCCTCAGGTGCGCCATCCCCCATCATGCCCTCTGCCCCACCCTTAACCCTGCACAATCAAATCATTCAGGAGTTAGGATGACACTCACCATGTGTTGCAAGTGGTGTGGTCAGCATAAAGCAGCAGCCCCTCCTCCACGGTCTCAGCGGTAGAAATTCAACCACCTGGGGTGGTAGTTTGGTACAGCGGCTAAGATGCCTGCATCCCATTCGGGCTCCACTTCCAGTTCCAGCTTCCTGCTAAGGTGCACCTTGGGCGGCAGCCGGGGACGACTCAGGTGTTCGGACTCCTACCACTCATGTGGGAGACCTGGGCTGAGTTCCTGGCTTCTGGACACTTGGGGAGTGGACCAGCAGATGGGAGGACTCCCCCTCTCTCTGTCCTTCCAATAAACAAAGTTTTCAAGCATGTCAATGGCTTACGATCGCAATGCAAAGTTACATCTTCAACACCGCCCTTTGTAAAAGATGAAGCTCCTTAAAGAGGTCTGGTTCCTTCTTAGCTCTCCAGAGTTCGCTTTTAGCTTCTTACCCACTCACTGCCAACTTTATTTCCCGCTTAGAACCTGTTCTTTGCCTCCCCCTTGTTAGTCAGCATTCACATCCTTCAATGCGCAGCCCAACTGTCACTTCCTCAGGAAACATTTCCTAACCTCAGATCAAGTTACATTCCCTTATTACATCACCATCTCCATCTGGGTGTCCCCGAAGTCTTATGCTAAGGGATTAATGTTCACGGGTAAAGGATAAAGGGTGGAAAGAACAATTATGGTATCTGCAGGCCGTGCCTTTGGGAAGTAGTGGATTGGATTGGGTTGCTGGGGTGGAGTCCAAGATCCAGTGATGATGACTTTACAAGGAGAGATCCCCACAGACATGGTAACTGGGCCCCCAGCTTCCTCTACCTCCCTGGCTGGCTACGCGATCCTTCTTCCCCCTGCCTCCTGCCGTCCACTGTCCTCCTCACCCACCGTACCATGAGGCTGCTTGGTCTCAGACTGCTGGAAACTCCAAAACCATGAGCCAAAGTAGACCTTCCTTCCTAAGCAGTTTCCCTTAGGCATTTGTGATATTGGGAAAGAGCTAATACACACATGCTCCGGAAGCATCCCATCCTTCCCCGGAAGCACTTATATCTACTTACTTATTCGGATTATATTACTTGCTTACTCCTCTGTCTCCCCATCAGATAAATTCCTGAATAGTGACCCTCTCTAGCTTCTCTCACAACTGAATCCTGAGTGCACAGAGGGCCTGGTATAGAGGACTTTAATCACTGTTTGCTACCGGGTGACTGAATGAACAGAAAAATAGCTCATTTTAAGGTCTTTCTCCAGCATGGAAGTAAGAAACGCTGGGACCAGCTTGTCTAAAGCCGCAGTCTTCTATGTAGGACAGATTAAGATTTCTCTGAAGCGAGGGATGCAATACATTTCAGATGGACCAAAAGGAAAGCTATTTAAGGTAGGGGCTCATTTAATCACACCAGAGAGTCCATGTCCATTTTTTCCATTAGGAGCACAATTTGCAAGGAGAATGACACTTCTTTTAATTTTCTCACACTGCTAGTCACTGATCTGCATTCATCTCTTCAGAGGAAATGCCATTGAATTCAGGAGAAGCATATTTAACCTGCATGCCATTCCAAGATCGCAGCAAAGCTTAGCTCCTGCACACTCTGCCAGTGCCCTTGCTAAGTAGTTACGTTAAACACTTAAATGTATAATTTTCTACAAGCGCTCTCGGTAAAAACATTCTTTCTCCTTTTTCACGTCTTCCAGCAAACCTCATTATACTTCTTGCGACCCTGTGGGCATCTCATTTTCTTTTGGCTTGTTTGCAAGTTTTAAAATATTAACTCCATCTCCCGCCTCAGGAAGGGTTGCTTGGCTACTACTTTACATTTTTAGAGTGTGACTGCTTTCACTTCTCCATCACTACCTTGAATAAAGGAATTCAGTGCATTTTCATAGAAGCCAGACATAATTAAGATCTCTTATCTTTACTAAGTACGGTAATGGTTCTCATTCAGAAGACGCAGCAGAAGTTACATGAGAGAGTATGTATCATTTTGTATAATGTTGGAGCCAAATTAAAATACGGTCAACCAGTGTCAGTCCCCACGGGGTTGGGGAAAGGTGTTGCCATCCAGCTTTGAGGGAAAGTAGGAACGAAGCAGAGTAAAACAGCAGCAAGGGTGGCCAAGCGGCGGGCAGCAGCAGCAGTCACCATCTGTGTGTTATCTAGGAAAGGAAAATGCAGCACGGCGACAGCGTGGGAGCGCACTGAGGCCTGTGACAGTGACCTGCTGAACAACTGTAAGAACGCGCGTCAGCGAGGCTTGTTGTGTCGGCTGGCAAATCCCAGGCATTGCCGCTGTCTCCGGGTGGAAGGTATAACACGGTGACAAAGCAGCTCTCCTGCTCCCGAGGACCTTGAGATACCATAGAAATGAACACAGAAAGGCTTTTGCTGCTTTAGCACTTTTTCAAAGCAGGCTTTAATTGTGGGCTGTTAAACGGGATAGCAACAGAACCTCTTGGAGCCTTTGATAGGTTAATGGTACTGGGAATCACTTCTAAGAATGCAGTGTGTTGCGCAGAGGCTCCCAAACTTATTTAAGATACCATCTTGGTTTTTTGTTTTTTTTGTGTTCTAGTTGTGTTTTTGGTTTTTTTGTTTGTTTGTTTGTTTGTTTTAGGAATAACAGGGGCACTCATGAGACTTGTAAAGCCTAAAACACACTCTAGGAAATGCTGACATTAAAAAATAGTGGCATGTCTGGAATTGAAAGAGTTTTGGAAATGTCTTCATCAAATATCTACTACGTGCTACAACCGCCAAGAAGCGGCGTGGAGGTCCCACACCAGGCAGCTCTAAAATCCACCTATTCATAGAAGACATATTCCTAATAGCAAAGAAAGGGAAAGAAACAATTAATTGTTCCTCAACTGGTGAATGGAGAAATACTATGCAGTATTACCTACACAGTGGAATATTACTCAGCCACATGGCAGAGACATGAACACAGGTGTAAGCTGTAACGTGGGTGAACCTTAAAAACACTGTGCTGAGAGAAAGCAGGCACAAAAAAAGGGCTTCACGCTGGATGGTTCCCTTTCCATGAAGCATCCAGAGCCAAGGCACTGAGGCAGAAAGCAGGACAGTGGTCGCCAGGCGCTGGGAGGGGAGGACAGCAAGGAATGACCACCACAGGGTACGGAGAATGTTCTGGAGTTAGTGATGACAGTCCCACAGCTTTGAAAGTCCCAAAGCCTCTGGACTGTGCACTCTAAAAAGGTGAGTTTTTCAGTGTTTAGATTTCATTTCAATTCTTGAAAAATCCAGGACCCTCCCAAACTATAGGAATTGAAAACATCACAAGCCATTTCTTGTCAACAATTATATTTAATGAAGATACCAGATGGTATTTACAGAAGATATACATACATACAATTTCTACACATTAGATGTTGTCTAATTGTGAAAACAGGAAAAAATGTACTCCAAAATTATCAACTAAACAAAATAAATAAAAAGCAGTTATTTGGCACAGTATCTATTATGTAGCAAATAAATAACTCTATACCGTTGATTGAATGAAGTATTTACAATCTATTTGAAAGTGCAAAACAATTGTTGAAAATTAAGATATTTGTAATAACCTTTAAGTCCAGAAAATATGTTTTTGTTTTTCATCAGTAACAGGAAATTTGTAGTTGAAAGGTTTTTAATGCCCAGAAAACATTTCAATTTTGAAAAACATTTTATGCATATTGTGCTCTTCTGAAATGTTATTTTCTATCTTAACGCTGGCAATTTTAAGAACCTTGGCATTTCTGTGTGGAATTTTTATGCAGGTGATCCTGATTGGTAAATTCTAAAAAGTGACATTGTAAACATAAATATTTTTCTACATATCTTTCAGAAATTACAGACCAGCCCTCTCTAAAGTACATAAATAGCCACAATGTTTTATTCCAAAGTACATAAATAGCCACAAGGTTCTATTCCTTCAGAGAGAAGACTATGAAGATGGAAGAACACAATCTACAATTTGGATTTGTACTGAGTCCTCAACACCTTCCCCAAACCCCTCGCTCCAATTCAAGTTGTTGAGGTCAAAACTACAGAACTACATCCCCACCAAGGTATCCAAATCCATCCCATGTGCAGCGTATCTCATCCTACAAATATTCTCAGAAAGAATGGCAGGGCCTTGAGATTTCTCCTGATAATGATATTTCACCCATCTTAAGGTCTCAGCACAGAAGATGACACAACCAGAAATGAACTAGGGTGACCGCACACTGGGGGCTCCTAGGGTAGAGGGTAAGCGTTACACACGTCAAGTCATTTCTTCTCTCTTCACACGGGGATCAACAGAACGCAGCCCTGAGGTTTCTCAGGACACGTCACTCACTCTGTGGCATCCTCACTGGTGGCGCAGTCAGCCGTGTAGCATCAGTGGCATTTTGGAAAGAGTGTGGACTGGAGACAGACCATCTCGCCTATGGCCGACGAGGCTCTAATCTGTGTGACATCTGTGATAAAGTTCTCTGGTTGTCAATCACATTTAATTGCCGCACATAACTCCGGACATCCTGATGGTTCTTATTAGCTTGAGCTGCATCGAGATCTGAATAAAGTGGAGAGGGGAGGATTGGCATTGCAGAATACATGCATGTAAAATCCAGCTTTATTTTCTCCGATTACTTATTCCACTTGTCATAGATCCCTGGGTTCCACCAAGCCCCTTCAGCACACCACATGCATTGAAATGTCCCCACTAGGTCGTTCCATTTCCTCCCTCTACCCTCCGATTCTCTTTTCTTCCCTGGAATCACCTCATTTGATCATTTTCCTTTGTATTGCATGTTGTAACAACAACAATAAAAAAAAAAAGCACCAAATTAAAAAAAGAGAGCATCTGTCAAATAGCCCCTGGTTATAGACTAAAAATTTGCCCCTTACCATCCCAGCTCTGAGTTTTATGCTCTGTGTCTCTGCCTCCTTTGATCCAGGGGAGGACTAATGTCCAGACACAGTTTTCACTAGCTCCTTGCAAAGCCTTAACACCCGGCCCGAGAGAAGCAAGTGCCTGAGACCACAAGGTCCTGACTCCCTTCTTTCCTTGCGCACACACACAGCCACACGGGATTACCAGGTAGACACGTTCTTAGAGCTGCCCACATTCACAGAGAATCCCAACTCGTGTCCTGCTGTTACAACTTCTGCGAGACCTTCGGGTTGCTGATGCTGCTGAAAACCTAGTCAAGTGCTCAGATCTGAGGCGGACCTCAGGTATGTGTGCACCGAGCTGTCACAGAGGCTGATTTCAAAGCAGAATCTATCACCTGCACGTGGGCTGCTACACATGATGGAGAAAGGACATATTTGATAGTGGTAACTAGACACACGGGTCTCTCGGGAAGCGACTGCTTATTTTCCACACGGTACCATCTTGTGGCAATCTGTGCGAGAGTTGCCAGAGCTTTCTAATTTGGTTAGAGATGGGAAATCTCGATTTCTTTCCTGGGGATTCTTCCAATTTTCAAATGGTGATATTATTCCAAAATAAAAGGGAACAATGGTCAGTTTGGACCCAATACTCTTTCTGTGGTCTGTGGGCCACTTCCATCCTCTGGATCTCTGGGATGGCATCTCTGGTCTACTTGGGGATATAGAAGGAGGCCCAGCCAGAGCTCTCTTCCTTAGCACTCAGATTTCTGTAGGACATTTGTGCTGGTTAGATCCACATCCCACTCCCAAAGACACTGAGGCCGCCATCTGCGCACGGGGTGAGAGAGGGCAGCACTGCAGGTCTGAACACAGCCAAGCAGAGGGAAGACACAAAGGCCCCTTCTCGCGGTGAGAAGAGACTCATCAGTGTAATTATCACAGATAAATAATACGAGGGAGAGCTGAAGGATGTGCTGTGCTTAATTTCTCTGCTTCTCCCTGGCAGCGCCCTCCACATGTAGAATATACTCTAATTGCATTGCACCATTCCCGCCATGTGTAAGAATCTATTCCTATAGCGTTATCTATAGATTGTTGACTTCAGAGCCGAACAGCTGTTGTTTACCAGCAGTGACTGATAATTTCAACAAATGCAGCAAAGACTTCCAAAAACTTGTCTTCCTACTTCTCTAGGAGATGTGGGAGAATGTAGGGTTTGCTTCCAAAGAGGCCCATGGGCTCCAGACTATTCTATCACGGTTCTTGACCAGTTCCTGGAACTCGTTAAGAAACTTCTCAATGTTGTGAATGCTCTTAGGCACGCAAATGTGGCAAATAATTTTAGGAATTTTCTGGGTCTGCCTGAAGGCCAAAGGATTCTAGTTTATAAACCCCTGTAGCTGACACCACTTATCTGTTCTCATCTCTGCTTGTTCAATGGTTTTATGATCGTGTCTTTAAACACACAGTAAATTACTGGACGAAAAGATGGGAGACTTGAACTCTGGCAGAATCCACGTAGGAATAGTCAATGACACGCAAGACTATTCTCATCTTGGAAGTCAGAGAAGGCACAATCATTTCCATTCATTTGTAAAAGGTCTACTCGTTTCCTAAATCATGATTATTTCTCCTAGCTTTCTTGCCTCTGGATATTCAAAAACGGAGATGTAGTAGTAGTTCTGGCATTCCATGTTAGCCAACCCTGGCTTTGGGCTAGCCCTGTGCAAGGAGGAGCTCTGATTAATAAAACAAAAACCATTTAGGCTTCTAGCATCATGTTCACTGCAGGGAATGGTCCAGGTAGCCGCACAGTCATGTCCGTGTCATTGTTTTGTGTTGCGTTAATGAGCGAAATTTCCTCAAGTGACTCACACAATGACATTAACAACTGTACCTGGTCTGCCTCCTCACTTTCAGACCCCACTGAGAGAGCAGCTCCACCCACAACCCCAAGTCCCAGCCCAGAGGAGACCGTGGAACTGGTCTCACAGGACCGTCTGATGCTGTGATGCAGCAGGTGAAAACAGCTAATTAGTAAAAATATTGCTATACGAAAGCACTACATCGTGCTAGCTCTTGGGATCTGTGTTCAGACCTTAAAAGAACACTTCAAGTTCACTTGGGAGTACCAGAGCTGTCATCTGAAATCCTGCTCTTGCCCTTACCAACGTGCCGAACACACAATGCACCCTCACAGGCCTCTGAGAGGCGGTAAATATTCTCTCTCCCGGTTTCTAAACTCAGGCCTGAGTCATCGAGAGCTGATGTGGGTTTCTCAACATGGAGCAGTGAGTCACGCAGATGCCTGGGCTGACGGAAGGCTTGCGGGCCGCCGTGCCCTACTTATCTCTAACCACACTGCAACAACTCAATTCTCTTTAATTCATTCATGACACACTATTCCTCCGGTTATTTTCTAGATCTGTGACAGCAAAACAAAGGGCGTCTGAACTCAAGGCCCCTGCTGGAATTCACTGCCCAGAGTGTGCCTGATACAACCACCCAGATCTCCATGCAGCACATCCGACTTACTGAAGGGTTGGCTCCTGTAGTACCTCACGGTTCTGGCAGTGTTTGCAATCATACGCTGAAAAGAATCAAGAAAAAAAGAAAGGCAGAAATACAAGTCAGCTTAGTGTATGTAATCCATAGAGGAAAATAAGCCATTATTTATTTCTGCAATACTTGTCCCATAAGAACAGCTTGTTCTGCAGTAGTGGCGCTCTGAAGGCGATGGTTGAGGGATAACCTGGTTAATGGCTTTGAAGAGGCACCCACACTCACAGGGACAAGGTGATGGCAGGGCAGGAATGCCGGCAGCCTAACTCTAATCTAATTGTCGGCTTGTTCTGAGGGACACAGCGAGCGTCTATTGTTCCAGTAGCCCTCCTGGAGGTCATGGTGAAGGTGTGTGGGAATTTAGAACTATCCTAGACTAGAGCAGGGTTAGCTATCAAGCTCCTTGCTGAAAGCAAATAGGACTCAGCAATGACATACTAGGTGGTATGGACCAAGTAGGAAGTCAAAATGTTCTACCTGTGAGTTTTTGCTACATGGTATGCGTTACTGACTTCTCTGCTCTTCCAGCAAAAGCGTGTGTTTTAATGTTAATCCTAATGGTCCATTCCCTTCCTGCTCCCCTTCTTTCTGATGACACTAAAACACGGACATTTTAGAAAACCAGAGAATACACAAAACATTAACAGCAAAGTAAACGTCACTTAGAATGTCACTTCATTATGTGCCTGAGTAACATTCATATTGTTGTACATTTCCTTCTAATATTTAGGAAATAAATATAGGAAGCTATATTTTTAAAAGATTGAAGTCACCCTATACATACATATTTCATTCCGAGTTGAATTTTCACAGTACAGTGTGACTATTTTCCATACCATTTGCATCTTAAACCATTTTAAACATTTATTTATTTGAGAGGTAGAGACCGAGAGAGCCAACTCCTATCCACTGGTCAGGCAGGGCCAGGCCAGAGCCAGGAGCCAGGGTTGCACACAAATCCAGGTTTTGCATGCAAGAACCCAATTATGCAAGCCATTCTTGTGGCCTCTCAGTGTCTGTATGTGTAGGAAGCTGGAGTAGGAGCCAGAGCTGGGTACCAAGTCCCAGCACCCTGATGCAGGCTGTGGGCATCTTAACCAGTTGGTGTCTTAGCACTAGGCCAAATGCCTGCCCCATGAGCTTGCATTCAAACAGGACAAACCATAATCGGTCTGACCCTTAATTTCTCCATTAAGTGACCTTCTTAATTTCTTTGTGAAGTTTTGGTGATCATAAAGATTTAACAGGGACTCTTCCATGCTGAACTCAATTAAAAATAAAGGAAAAGAGGAAAAATATTCCAAAGGACAGAAATAGAGGTCCCGAACTCCCTTGGAAACCACTGTTGGATCCCAAGCCCCAGCCCCATTGGTGAGCCAGGGGGGACGTCCCCTGCTCATGGTGCATTAACAGTAGCTGGGATTTGCATTGGGGCGGAGCTTTCAGCACATCTTTGCTGCTTAGATTCTCAAAGGGGACCCTGCACAGATAGCAGATTAGTGAGCACCCCAATTGCTAAGAGACTTCCCCGTCTCGGAGTGGCTGTGTCATTCCAGCCCCTGCTTCCTTCTTTTCCCGGACCCTTGGTTTGCCAAACTATAAGAGAATGACTTGGAGCAGGAAGACCATGGCCTTACACATGTAAACAGGTGAGTAGCACAATACTGCACTGGGTTCTGGATGCTGGCAAGCGCTAAGCGACCTGTGCCTGCATGGGATAGCGTCTCTTGCACAAAGAGGTCATTGAAAAAGTTCCAACTTCACGTTCGTAAAAGATCGTCAAAACCAGCACGTCTCTGGATCAGCATGAGAAAAATATTACAAATCCCTCCAAGAAAGTGTAACATACAATGTATAATTAGCCTCTGATATATGGAGCCCTGAAATAAACAGTAGCTGTGATCATTTTCCTGCTAATTTACTTGAAGTTGTTTTTTCACTTCTCTAAAGGCTTTGCATCCGAAGGGCACCAGTATATTCCGTGTAGAATTATTGTAATTCTTCCGATATTGAATGGAGTGTAATTACCGAAAACCCCGGGGAGTGCTGCCAGTATGCCCTTCTGGAGAATAATAAAACAATTAGCAGGGGTCAGAAACCTCTTCCTATACCATTTTGTAGGGAGTAATTGTTCTGCTTTTTAGTTTTGAGAGCTAAAACATTTCATTCTGACTTTGGTTTTAGACTACTCTTTACAGCTATACTCTGAGGCTTCATAATTTTTAGCTCATTATGTAGTTTAAAATGTGAGAACAATTGTTTAAATCGGTAATTTCCAGCTCTGAAGTTCATTCTACCTTGCTAAGTCTTCGATTAATTTTAACAATGCTTTTAATTTTGACATATCCTTTTTAATTGTGCTCGAAGATAACTTCAGTTTAACTTCAAAATCCAAATCTGGCTTTACAAGGTCCATTCTTTGCCTTTGTGAGTTGCAGACAATAATGCTGAATGGTGTGAGCCTATGGAACTGCTGTATGAACCCGGCCAACACTGCTGGTCAGTGCACGGTCACACAGTGCTCTCACGGGGCCACAGAAGAGTTGGCCCCATACTCTAACTCCGGCTTCACTTGCATCCACTGAACCACATCGCACCCACACAAGAGTCTTCCCAGGGTTGCTGAAACAGACTCCGGAAGTCACCTCCTTGCACCACCTCCAGGAGCCGGATGCCCTCTGCAGCCTTTCCATTCGTAAGAGGCTCCCTTCCCGCTGTTGGAACGCACCCGGCAACGCAGCATTCATTGCCTGCACTGACAGCCCCTTCCATTTTTAGTTTACTCACTTCCAATTTTTATTTTCATTTTATTTGAAAGACAGAAAGACACAGACAGATCTTCCTTCTGCTGCTTTATTTGCCCACAACAGCCAAGGCTGGGCCAGGCTGAGGCCAGAGGTTCTACCTGGGTGTCCCCTGTGGGTGGCAGAGACCCAGGCAGTTGAGCCATCGCCTGCCGCCTCTGAGGGTGTGCGTTAGCAGGGAGCTGCATGGGAAGGAGGCAGCCAGGATTGGACTGGACCCAGGCACTCTGGCAGGGGATGCGGGCATCTCAATACCACAACCACTGCACCAAACACTCAGCCCTTCTTCTGTTTTTAGACATCGCTGACGATTGACTGAGTCCCCGTCTTTCTCCCCTTACTTCTCCCTCCTTGATCCTAGCTCTGAGCTCTGGCACCGCGTTGAGTTCCTCTCTAACAGGAGAGTTCTTCGAAGACTTGAAGACAACCCTTAGGGGTGTTTCCCTAGCCCCAGGCTTTCCTCGTTCAGCCTTAACAGGCTTGATTTCCTCTGAACGGTCCATAGCACAATGCCCTGGACTGACCAAAGCGCAGATTGCAGTAAACGCTCCCTCTTCCTTGATCCATCTAGAGATGCTGTACACTGTATATTACATGCACAGCTTTAAGAAATCATGTTACCTCGCTGTGCAGACTTGGCATCCTGCTCTGTCAACATGCAATTGATTTTGAGGGTGAGCGTGGCAGATTTCGCATTTCTCTCCACTAAAATATGTTCCATTGGAGTCTATCTTTCTGCAGACTCAAGCCTCACGTGTGATTTTTTTTATGGCCGGTGGCTGTTGACTCATTGGAGTTCAAGGTTGGCAGAAACTAAGGTGAAAGACACAGAGGCTTCATTATCCAACTGCCACAGTAGGGCTGAAGCCAAAAGTGATGGTTCAGGTGTGGGAGTCTTGCCAGACCTGCCTGGAGCAGGCTGGGCAGCTCTGTGTACAGCCAGGTCGGGAGCCCGGGGGGCAAGGCTGATTACTCCACAGAGAACCTCTCATCTTCTTCTTCCATGTTAGCCAACCCGAGGTTGATGACGCATGCCCATCAGCAACTGGCTCATTAAGACAGCAGTCGGTAACGCAGGGGTTAAACACGAGGCCAGCCTGCTTCTTCAGATGCGTGGAGGACACACTGAACCCCCTGGCCATATCTCAACTGGCTTTTCTTAGGACTAATTCCCAGCGTAGCTCTTCAGCGCTTGCTGGCAAGCCTGAATGCATTTACAGTTCCCAACCCTTGGGGCTGAGGGACAGGCAAACCCGAGAGCCAAGGCCAGCTCCTTCCTAGGGCGTGGGTTGCACAGTGACCATGTCCAAGGATGCTGTCCAGAGGAAGGGATGACCATATGTGTGGGGGAGCCTGGCACAGGCCAGAGGCTCCTGGGCTACAGTCCCCAACACAAATGTCCCCCACACTTCAACAGAGCTGAGGCCACATGAACCTGGCAAGCACCACCTCGCCAGCGGGCCGTTCTAGGACACAGCCCCTCCCGCGGGGACCCTCACTGCCTCCCGCAGTGCCCGGAGCCTTTACAGCTGCGCTCAGCTTTTCTGGTCAGTTCTGCCCTGATGCTTGCGCTCTCCATCCAGGCTGCCTGCAGCTCCCCTGTTGCCCAAGAGGGGCAGACTCCCATGTCTGGGTTTCATGTCCGGACCGGCAGGCCCTGCGGGCACTGCCACCTCCCACTGTTCCATCCGGGGCCTCCCACTCCCGGGCACCTGCTCTTCCAGGCCACTCTGGCTCTCTGCTGCGGTGCTCTGGGGAGGCCCTGCTCGGAGGCTCCCGCCTCCCTGACTGCAGGCCTCTTCTATCTGCCTGCCCAGGGCAGTCTGTGTCTTGCTCCTATCCTCCCTTTAAGAGCACCCTTGCTCTTACAGTGTGCCAGCTTGCTTTGCCTCTTCTTATATTCTGCCCTTACCTATTTGGTTCTCTCCCATCTCCATGCCTGTTAAATATAGGCTCTGAGCCATTCATCCTGGCTTAGCACATGTCAAACCACATGGCTATCATCAGATTCTCTCACTCGGGTTGCCACATTTTTGGAACAATTTTTTTTTTTTCTGCAACAATTTTCTGAAATACAACAGTCCTTCAGAAAGGTACTTGCTGGGAAATGGAATTTAAGAGATAAGCTTATTAGGCTGCAAAAAGTTTTAAAATCCATGCATTTTTTTGTAGGACACATTTCCTGTGAACCTTTTTAAGAACCCGCATCTGTGTGGATTTCAAAACTTCTTACATCAAAATAAAGTTTCTTTTTTAATTCCACTTTGCAGGAACTTTAGGAGCTCTTGTCTGTAGCCTCTCAGGCACAGAGATTGTGCCCATGAGAGCAACTGAGAGCAACTGCAGACCACAGGGATCTGGGTGCCGGACCAGCCTCCGCTGCGTGTGTCCCTGAGCAGGAAGCCAGAGTCCCCGCTCCCCACGGTGAACCTGCAACACCCAAGTGTACACAGGGGTGACACTCGTGATGCCTGCAGCCTACATTACACATGACCCATGGGAGTTGCAGGCCAGGCACATGTGCAGGCACACTTCGATCCTGGGCTCCTGTCTTTCCTGGGGGGAAGGGCGGGCAGATTCTGACTGGGAGGAGGGGAGACAGACGCCCCGTTAGAACACAGGGTCAGTGCACTCCCTTCCTGTCGGGTGGCAGTTATGTCCAATGCACTGGGTCAGGTGCTTCATCACCTCTCCTAATAAGACAGGAAACACTTCTGGATTCCGTCTCTATTACATAAAATCCTTTAAAAATACCTGAGTGCCCTGTCCTACTTCACTAAGTCCAACCCTGGAATATAATTGGGTTATTCTCTTATTCGACAAGGATTTCTCGCATAGTTGCAATGTGTCAGACACCTTTATGGGTTCTGGAGAATCATCAGTGGAGAAAACAGGGCGCTGACAGGCAGATAGACTGTGAAAGGGCAAGTCAGGCTCATCTCACATTGTGGGGCCAGCTGTCAAGGCAGAGAGTGCTGGGCCGGGGGCAGGGGTGGAAGAGTGAGGCTGGAGGGGTGGTCAAGGAGGACTACCTGGGGGAGGGAATGAATGATGAGAAGGAGCCAGACAGGTGCAGACGAGGGGAAAAACATTTCAGGCAAGACTAACAGCTAGTGCAAAGGGCCTGTGGCAGAACAGATGTCACCAACGTGGACTGAGCACGAAGAGGCAACATGACATGAGGCTCGTGGGTACTGAGGGTGCAAAGTCTGCATTTTATTCTTTCATGCTATTAGTGCTAACGCAGCTTTGGTTCCCACTGGCACATCTGCAGGAAGTTCCCTCCCCTGTGTTTCACTTTTCGACATCTCATTTCTGATTCTTATGATCTAGTTGCTGTCCCTTCTGTTGATTTTTTTTGACTTTTAGCATTTCATACGTTTACATCTTACCTCCTCCAATGCACGTAATCCCCTAAAGGCCAAGGACTAGTTCCTAGAGATCTTTATATTTCCTAGTAAAATCTTTTGCCTGAACACACACGACACATGTTCCTCTGAAGCATACTCATTGGAAAATGTGCATTTAACCTGGTCTGCAAAATCTCTATAAAGAAACAAAATCTCAAAGGACTCCCGTTAGCTTCCCTTTGTGTTGGAGGCGCCTGGCAATCGGTGGCTTTGAACCTTCAGGTTTTGACTTAGAGATTTGTTTTTCTCCAGCTGGAGATAACAAGTCCGGTGCACTCTCCGTGAATCTTGTACTAATATTATTGGCAATAGAAAACCTATTGCTGCTAATTGTGTAATGACATGCTTAGTGATACAAAAATAAAGGGATTTAAAAACATTTCCTTAGCGAATTAGCGTCTGTTAATGTTTCCAGATGTTTGCTCCATGCTTCTCAGTCCAAATAAAATGACTACCTTAAAAATCATATTCATAAATAAATCTACCTAAATATGGATATGTCTGAAAACAGAACCAGCTTCCTCGCACACCAGCAACTGTGCCATCAGCATGCTTCCTGCAGCCTGGGAGAGCGGCAGCCGGCCAGCATATCATCCCCTAATCCGGGGCTGGTCTATCTCCTCGATGTTATAAATATTCATGCATGCCATGGAGAGAGACGAAGGGCTCGATTCAAACATTTTTTTGAATACTCCTTTATGTCGCCCCCAGATGAAAGAATGTCGGCCTTTTTATTTTTTTGCATAAGGATCAGAATGTGGATTCTTTTGTTCATACCCAGAAATCCTGAAAACTAATATACAACAAATTCTCTAATCCGCATTTCATACCCCAAGTGTGAAGAAGCTCAAAATAAAAATACTCGGGGTTGGCACGGTGATTTGCTGATTGTGCAATGCAGCCACCAAGAAAAGGCATCTGTGTTCCTGGCTACCCTGGTGACTTCTGCCCCAGGCAGGGACTCCTCTGGGGACACAGCCCACCCGCTCCACAGAAGCCTTTCACGCTGCTCTGCCCACCGCCTGGGCCTTGCCGGCGGCGGGGGGGGGGGGTAGGGGGGTGATGGGGAGACACAGCATTGAGACCTGCTTGAAAAGGAAGATGTGTCCTCCCCAAAGACCCAGCAGGAAGAGCAGCCGCTGCGGGTGACGGCAGGGAGATACCGCGGGGCTGAGCTGGCTTATTGGAAGAACATGTTGGGGAGTGGGCAACACGTGCCAGACGGACGGCAGCCAGGTTTAGAAAACATCACGCAGCCTTTGTGAAATGCCATTTCATTTTCCAGCCTCATCCAGCTGATGGAAAGGCGATTCTGAAATCCAACTTTCTCACGGTAAATACAACTTCCAAGGTTGTAAAAGCAAAGTACTAACAGCATTCCTTCAATACCTTTCCCTCCCTGTCTTTCAGTTATAAACCCCCCTAATTTTTAATGGGGCACATGGATACCCCAAAGAAGGGTGACATTTCCAAGCCTTCCTTTCATGTGACAAAGTTTCTCGACAATAAAATGGGAGGCAAGTGCTGAGTGCAACTTCTGCCCCACCCCCGAAGGGACGCAGTGTACCTCCACCTCCCTTTCCTTTCCCTGAGGGCTGGAATGGGGACGTGGGGGCTGCCATCTTAGGCCACGTGGTTGGCAAAACAGCAAGAGCGCAGACGCCAGGAGCCACACCTGCCTGGACTTTCAAGGGAGAAAGACATGAACTCATCTTGCGTCACGCATCATAGAATTAGGCTTCCGTGACTGCAGCTGAAACGCTTTCTCAGCTATCCCCTTGCTTTTCAGCAAAAGTGGACTTTTCTTTCCTCATGGCTGGGCACAGAAGAATCTGCAGCTGAGGGCACGAAGTGCAGAACCAGGAGGGGGCGCTCTCCTGGTATCCTCTGGTGATCTCGGTGTTGAGTTTGCAGGTTACAGACGGGGGACATCACCACCCCAACATTGCGACGAGGCAAATTTTGGCCATCCCAGCCAACAGCTGAGTTTGCGGCCCTCGGCCCTTGCTGCTCTTGCTTGTTCTGTTTGGTTAACTGTAGTGGTGAACAGTTCTGAAGCTCAGAACTTTTGGAAACTCTGACGCCTCCATCTCTGCACACGTGTGTATTTTACAGCTAAAAGGCTGGGGCATCCCCCTCTCAGTTTGCTTTTCTGCGTAACTGATCCAGAAGCTTCCTTACTCATTTGCTAAATGTTTCACTTCTGGAAAACATGTTTTCTTCTGAAAAAGCAGGGATAATGTTTAATTCTCTGTACTAATAGGTGAGCCAAAGTTGTTTGTTTGTTGTTTTTTTTTTTTTTTTACTTTGATCAAAAATTACTAAAGTGATGGAGTAACAGAGATGTTCACAGCCTGCCTTTGATGTGGGGAGGAAGCTGAGAAAACATCTGCCCTCTGGTCTAGAGTGTCCCTGATGAGTGTGCACCCACGTGCTGTTCCCTAAGCAGCTGAAGACCCGGGAACCTAGTGTCCAGGCTGGGCTTTGCAGTAAGCTCATTCCCCAAGCTGAGCGGTGCTGATCCTCACAGGATTACCACGGGCTGTTTCACATTGCCCCGGAGTCACTTACATAGGCTCCAGTTCAAGAAATTGGAATGGTTCTCTGATAAGACTTCTGTAGCACTCTATGGCTATACACCACAGACCTACCAATAACCCAGAGAGAGATGGAGCGGGCGTGAGTCCCATTTTCTGTTGGGGAAGGCGACCCGCAGAGAAATTAAGGAATGGCTACAAAGTGATGCAACTGAGTAATGAGCCTCGTGCCTCCTGAATTCCAGGTCCTGGGCTTTTGCCACAGCATCAGAGGCACGTTGCTCATCCTAAGCTGGGGAAAATGCTCACCCACCCAGAGACAAAACACTACACCGCTCCATCCACCCGGGCTGCAGCCAGCGGATTTAGACGACAAGGGGCCATTCCTTTACCACTCAGTATGTAGCTAAAGAAAGGTTTTGCGGGACTTGTTTTATTGCTTGACAAAAGATAAGAAAATCAATTGCAAGGCAACTCACACCAGGCAACCCTGCCTCGTTTTCTGTTTTGTTTTCTTTTGCCACAGAGGGTGACTGGAAAGTAACCAATACTTGCATGCCAGGTCCACATCTGTTATTGTAAAACATTTTTTTGTTGTTGTTGCAAAGATGCCCAGGTTCCCTCTCTGAACTTGGGTGAACCTCACTGGGGTAAAGCCACACACATTTGGATGACTACTCCATAGTAAAGATCTGCTATGGAGTTGCCTTTGACCTCCATGCCCGCAAGCGGGGCTGGGCAGTTCACCATCTCAAAGGCAACCTGGGGCAGCCTGCCTCCACAAACCTCACAACACAACAACAACACGGAAGCCACTCTGCAACACTCGTGCATTTTAGCAACAGGCAGCCCAACATGGAAATACAGAGCTTCAAAGCTGCTGCTGGGAGCCCCAGCACAAAGGCTGCACAATTTCACAAAACAGAACTGACGGAATGCAACAGCGAGCTGACGGGGACCGAGTGTTTCGAAACTCCTTTTTGTGTAGCTACCTTTGTAACGTGGCAGCACCTATGGAAATTATTTCCTTTATTAGTACGAATGCAAATTTCATGTTAAAAAAACATTGTGGTTAAGGTTATAATACGGCACGTACCATTTTTTCAAAGTTTACTAGATTGTCAGTGAAAGTCTTGTTCCCCTCATGAGTAAATGTCATATCTGTAAAGAAATAAAAGCCACATTCTAATCACGAGCCGAAATATGTCACACTAAGAAAGCACAATAGCACCATTAGATTATGCTGCTGGATTTGCATAACACTGCAGATGGGGAAAAAAGCTGATAATAGTTCCTTTTATGTTAGGTGTTTAACTTTCTAAATCGCTTCACCTGAGATTAGTAAAATCTCTAAACTAACCCTCTGCTTTGCTAACCAGTCTTCCCAGTCCCGGATGCCCGCTCCTGTGCCCATCTTCCCGGCCCTTCCAGAACAGGCGGGGCTCAGAGGAGAGGGCAGGGCTGGCAGGATGGCATTGTTCTCCCGGGAGAGCTCTGGCCAGGTTCACTTTCCTCGGATTACCTTTAATGAGCAGAGGCATGAAGGGGATGAGAGGAGCCTCCAGCTTGGCCACCGTCAGCCTGTACGCCCTGTGGTTTCTCGAAGGATCCTTAGGAGAGAGACAAAGAGAAGTCGGGAGTCAGGGCCTAGTGACTCATGTGTGGCCCACCCTCCTCAACCCACGACCAGGTATTCCTGAGTCAACAAGTGCAGCTATGGACGAAACATAGACGGAACCAAAGGAAACCGAGGCGTGTCTTAAGACAGCTTCAGATTTGCCTCCGGAGGCCATGGGGGAGAGGCTCCCTTTGATGCAACCCTGAGCTGTCAAAGCTACCTGCCCCAGGAGCTCCTGTTCGCCTGAAGCCCCAGAGCCTCCCTGGGAGGTTGGCTCACCCCATCTCTGTCCTGTCCAGCCAGACTGGTCCAACCTGCCTTCTGAAACCACCCTTCTCAGGACTGCTAGCAGTCCTGCTTGCTGGGTTTGTCTGTGGACACCTCCCAGCAAATGGGGAGAGACCATTTTTGGCAAACCAAGGGAGAGGCAGCTTCTGAGCCATCACGGACCTGAGCTGCAAGGAAGGGGCCCCATTACGCTGCTTTTCTTAGTTACACAAATTGACCTTATGCGGGACATCAGTCCTCCTTAAGTTAGTTCCTGTGGGGGCCATTCATTAGTCAGACATGCTTGTTTTAGCAGCACTAAAAGGGATCATAAACTTCTTAAAGTCAGACAAGGACAGATAAAATTTCCGAAATGAGAACTTCGACTCAGCTCATCAGAAACTGGATTAATGCAGACAGTGAACAGGATAGAGGAGTCACTGTCACTTACCATTAAACTTTCAAACTCGGCATAGAACTTCTTGAACTTGCTGGGCAGTTTCTGTTAATGAAATGAAAGTGCCATATAGATACGTCAGGCTCAATGTCTGGATTTGTATCCTGAGTTACCATTGCTAGGGGAAATGGATTTCTTTTGGCTCTGAATCAAACATGCGAGACAGGCCAGACTATAATCTGTCTTGTCACTTGAGAATAAGCCTCTGGAATATGGAGGACTTGACTCTTAAAAGTCTTCACCTGCTCGGACCAAAAGTAACTATGAATGTTCTGGTCTTCCTGCTTCTAGAATGTTCTCTGAATTGAAGGCTTCATTAACAGGACTGCGGTGCCCACACCCCCAGTGCTCTGGACACGCCACCCTGCACCCCCCCTCCCTTTTATTCTGACTTCACTGACTCCCACGATAAACTCAATTCAGAGAATATCAGAATTAAAAGAGCTTCAGAAATTATCTATCTCAACCCTCACGCTCCCATACAAGGCAAGCCACATGAGAAGAGGGCTCTGTGTGGGCTTTGTTCATTGCTTCCTCGGTGCTACAGAGTGCTGGCTCCATAGGAGGTGCTCAGTGTCTATTAGACTGCATGAAACTTGCGTTGTACAGAGGAAAGAAATTAAGGTTCAAGTTCATTTAAGTTTTATTTATTATTTATGTATCTGAAAGGCAGAGCAACAGAGAGAGAGAGAGAGAGAGAGAAACAGAGAGAAACAGAGAGAGAATCAGAGAGATCTTCCACCCACTGGTTCACCCCCACCCCCACTCCCAGTACCCACAACAGCCACTGCTGGACCAGGCTGAAGACAGAAGTCAGGCACTCAAGCTGGATCCCCAACGAGGGTGGTAGGAACCCGAGTGCTTCCCAGGCACGTTAGCGGGAAGCTAAATCGGAAGTGGCGGCAGACTCGGTCCTGGGCACTCTTACGTGGGATGCAGGCATCCCGAGCAGCAGCATCACCTGCTGCACCACACAGCCCGTCCCAATCTCAAGGTCAAACATCCCAAGTCACACAGCTATTTTCATCGGCGCACCTGTGATCTGCACCAGCTCCCTCCTTCTCTAACGCCTCTCTTACATACTCTATGCTTTCTCTGCTTTGCTGTAATACAAAAACGCGTAAGTTCCGTAATGGATCATGTTCCCATGTTTGTATTTTGGCATCTAATTCATCACAGCTCTACCCTCAGTAGGGCAATATTAAACCACCCTTCAGCTGACTGGTTCCCACCTTGCTTAGGGTCTCAGTTTCTAGAAAGTTGAACATTTCTCTTCTGAAGGGGCAAAGGCAGGATAGAGCAGCACAGAGAAGTTTCCCACCCTGAGTCTGGGAGTGCTGGCCACGTCTCAGGCCTCAGAGCCACTCCGTCCAGTCCTGTGTCACACAGGGGAGTCACCTCCAACAGGTGATTCACCAGGTAGCCTCTACAATTCCACAGAAGGGCTCCCCTCTCCTCTCACGTCTGAGTCCCTCTGTCACATTCGCGTGTAAGCATCTTTACAATGGCCCATGTTGTTTCTAGCAAATAGTCTCACGGACATCCTCCGAACACATTTTCCTCCCGATAGGCTTACTCAGAAGTAGTCCAACAACTGAGAGCTAGCTGGGCACGAAGGGGTGCAGGGATGTGACTCCACATGGGCCAGCTACATCACCAGGCACACCGTCCATTCTGAAAATCAGACCTTTTCAGTTAGACCAAAGTGTCCATGGCCATAGGCCAGTTTCGGCTAGACTTCTGTACTGTGTTTCTTCCTTTACTTAGCTTGTGTTAGGTCAAAGGCAGCAGTGCACCCAGGAATAACACTTTTTTGGTTCTCCATGCGATTTCTTTCTTTCTCTTCTTTTCTTTTTCTTTTTTTTTTTTTTTTTTGACAGGCAGAGTGGACAGTGAGAGAGAGAGACAGAGAGAAAGGTCTTCCTTTTCTGTTGGTTCACCCCGCAATGGCCGCTACGGCCGGCGCGCTGTGGCCGGCGCATCGCGCTGATCCGAAGCCAGGAGCCAGGAGCCAGGTGCTTCTCCTGGTCTCCCATGCGGGTGCAGGGCCCAAGTACTTGGGCCATCCTCCACTGCCTTCCCGGGCCACAGCAGAGAGCTGGACTAGAAGAGAGGCAACTGGGACAGAATCTGGCACCCCGACCAGGACTAGAACCCGGGGTGTTGGCGCCGCAGGCAGAGGATTAGCCTAGTGAACTAATTTCTGGGCACATCTCATGCTTTGAGAGCAGGGTTCCCCACAGGGGCCATTTTGCCAATCCAGGGACACATGCAGATGTCTACAACCTTTCTTTCTTTTTTTTTTTTTGGGCCACAACTAGAGTGGGATGTAGCAAGAGAAGCTACTGAAATAGGGTGGGCAGTGGCTAGGGATGCTGGGAGGACCCAGCAGTGCACAAGATAGTCCCTTAATGTTGTAAGGCCATGCTCAAGTCCATGGTTCTTGTCTCACTTGAGCCCGTCCCTTGGCCATGTGGCTAAGCTTTGTCTTCTATCATGTTCATTAACTGTTAAACCCATGTCCTGTCACTCTTTGTGGCCAGGCACCATTCTTCACAGCACTCATGGCCACCAGGGTCCTCACTGGAGTGGGATGGGAAGCCCTTGAGAAGTTCTTGGCAAATACAGGTAGATAAAAACAGCATCTGTGATGCTTTTGAGTGAATGCTCTTCCTATAGGACTACGTAATTACAGTGCCCCTTTGGGAAACAAAGGCTTGTTAGTAACGGCAGGTTCATGTCTTTTCAGCAGCAGACACTGAAGACAACAGAAGCTCACAGGCTCGGTGTACTCCTACACCCAGTGAGACTGAAGGCTTGGCCAGTTAGCTGTCTCCTTTGCTGGCCAGAGCCAGTTAGTTATCTCTTGCAGCCTGCACCCTCTCCAGCTGCCTCTTGGTCCCTTTAGATCAGAAGAAGGGACGCAGACCCTGTTTTCACATGCTCTGCTCGGCTCTCTGGCTGCTGTGACGTCATCCCCACACCTGCCTTCCTGAACCCCTAAGAGGCTTTAGGCCTTTTTTGATTTTTCCCATCCAACTCATCTGGGCTCTTTCAGGGGGATTAGAAGCTAGAAGTGGGCTGGCAAAGCAGAGTGCCTAAGGGGGAACCCTGGGTCTCTAGAGATTCCAAAAGCCTTGGGCTGTAAGACAGGGGAGCTGTACAATGGCCTCGTGGCTTAGATGTACTGGCAGCACTAAGTGTGTCCTTTTGCTAGCTGGAAGATGACCCAGCTGCATGGCACACGGGCCTCACCACTTCCCTCATTCCTATATTCAGGGCATGAGCTGCTGTGTGCTGCATCTGCCCGGAATTTTAAGAGAAATCCAAGACAGAAGGACTTGTGAGGGCCTGCCCTATAAACAATGGAAACATTTAGGAGGGATAGGAAAACAAAGTGCTTTCAAGAGGGAAGTGGGAAGAACATAATTTCAAGGCACAGCTTCAGAGATGCGAGCAGCTGCCTTGAAGCGCCCTGCAAACGCAGTGTCTGTGCCACATGCCTCCTTTTCTCTCTGGGTCCCACGCACACAGACTTCTTTATTTTTAGTACAACTCTATTTTTGGGTGTATGTCCTATCAGAGATCAGTATTTCTTCAGCCACAAGCCACGTGTAAGAGGTCAAGCAGATTTTGCCTACTGAGCTAACAATAAATGAAGATGTTTTCTGGCTTGAATAACCAACTGTCAACAAGCCACTCATCACAGGGACATTTGCTACAGGCATTCACAGCACACCTGTATAACTTTTGCCTTGAACTGAAAAGGAACTGACTGCTGTTCCCCCGGGCAGGGAGAAGTCAGCCAGGTGGTCTAGCCATAGTCAGGATTTCAGCCGTGCCAGGCAGTTGGTCTCCTGGCTACTTCTCCCATGGGCAAAGTGACTACTCAGTAAAAACAGATCTTCTTTCCATCATAGATAAGGTTCGTCGCAAAAGCAAGAAGCAGACATTGAGAGGACAACAGGTTCTATAAACAACACTCACTCCAGCACTGTTGTTCCTTCCCATTCCCCTGGGGAGCTGGACTGCAAGGCTGAGAGCCCCCCCCCCCACACACCCAGTTCCTCCTCCTGCAAAAGAACAATGTCTTTTCCAATTCTCTCTTGGAGGAAAGTAGCCAAAGGAGACAGTTCACCTCCCTCCAAGGGTCCCGCGCTCCTGCATTGTGATACCAGTGTGAGTGATAGTTCTATAAAAACTGCTCACCGGTGAGCCAGTGTTTTCATCCTTAAGGCAAAAGTCACAGCTGGATCCCAGCTGCAGCTTACCTCCCACGTGAGTGCCAAGCGGCTCACGGCTACATTGCTGAGTCCCATGACGATGGCAAAAAAGGAATTCAGATTCCTGTACTCCTTACAGCTGAAACACAAGAGGCGCGGGATTGAGTAAAAGGCCACTTTTGAGTGAGATTAAAAAAAAAAAAACCAGGAGAGTGCTATTTTCTGCTGGTCATTAATATTCGTCAGGACTCCTTTCTGTGAACAGGCAATGATAGATTTAATGCACTCCATAAGTTCCGCTTGGGTGACCGTGTGCTGCTGTTGGGTTTCTCGCTGTCATTTCACGGCGTTGATGGCTTTGGTCATTGAGGTTTGGGTTTTGAGAAGTAATTTAAAGATACCTCCCCCAGGAGTTGTTATCATCATCCCAAACTTGCCAACAGCCTCAGAGGACCTGCAGGGAAGCAGCGTGTGGGACAGGAGCAGGGGATGAGAAGTGTTCTTGGAGACTTTCAGCCCTACACCCTGCAGGTGGGCCCTGCCCAGCCCCTGGGGAGGGGACCAAGGAGTCACAATGCTACGGCCACTGGGATTCCATCTGCTGAACAAATGCTGCTAATTCACTGACAGCTTAACTTACAAGGCCTGATTCCTATGGGCTGGCCTTTGACTTTCAAGGGGCTTAGGGGGAAGAAATAACCCAAACAGCTGACAAAATCTCTGTGCTTTTCTGAGGTGCTGAAGCTGTGTCCGTACGCTACTATTAGCTGGCATGAATATATGTTTGGGAAGGAGGCACGTGCACCAAGCCCAGGAATACTTATTAGAATGGCAAGATCTAGGTAGTAGGCTCAACTTAAAAAAATACACAGGAACCCCCGACTTCTTCATACCAGGTCCCTCCTGAGAAGGGAGAGAATTCATTTTGTAAAAAGCACAAATCCTTTCTCTCAAATCAATATGGTTATCAAAGTTGAATACATCATAATTAAATCCCATTTGGATTCACATTTTATAAAGGGCTACATTGTTGCATTTGCCATCCGGGATATCCTTACAAAGGTAACCATAAGTAATTCTAAGTGGTCTGTGGGGAAATGAGAAAATATATTTCAGAGTCAGCCGGCCCTACTCCTGAGAAAGCAGGGGAGGCCTTGGCTGTAGCACTCAGGTCAGGGGCTGACGTCACTCAGGAGACCCCAGAGGTGGAAGGCAGCAGGTGCAACCCCCTGCATGTGTTTGTTTTTGTCTTGTGCCCATGATCTTGAAAGAACAAATGCAAGACTGTGGACCTGCCTTTCTGGTCACTGCTCTGTTTCTAACTCGCTTTATCACCCTTGGAAAACCATGACATGTCTCCATGCCCCAGTCTCCTGACACGGAAACAAAGACATAATGACACCTGCTCCTCCGCCCTTCCTTCCCCCCAACTTCATAAACTTCAAGACAGGGCCACGATCTTGGAGAGAACAGGCAGAAGTCCTCTAAAGACAGCAAGCCAAACAGATGCTATGGCCACTGGATTCCCATCTCGCGCTTACAGATCTGGGATTTGTGAACGTCTACAATCTTCTCCAGCTGGGCTGTGTAAACAGCTCCACTCTGGGACAGCAAGCTCAGCGCAGGACTTAATCGTGGTTAATAATATAAACCAATTTATACCGGAGGCCAGGTCCACCTACTCATTCACATAATCAGAAGGGAGAGGGATAAGAAAGGCAAAAACATTTAAAAAACCAAAATCCTGGGTTTTTCAAAAGGCTCTCCTGCGTTGCTTCAGTAACGTAACAGGATTAGGCCCCCAAAGATTTGCTGACCTCCCACATTTGCGTGCAGATTGCTTCTCTCTCCTCCTCCTGGTTGCCTCCGGCACTGCCAGGCTCCGGTGCAGAGAGAAAGCACACATTGTCATAGTTTCCATAATCAACTCATTCCAAATCCGTGAGGGCATTTGTCCCTTGCAGCAAGCCTGCTCAGGCTGCTAGGGAAAGTGGCTTCGCTCTGAGCCAGGAATTCACAAGCAACGTTTCACCAAATCTCTCTTCACCAGGCCAGCTTTTCCCAACGAAGAGCTAGCAGCGCTCAATTCCAAGGGCTTTGGTATTCTGTTGGACCCTCACCTTTCTGGCAAAATAACTCAAGGCATCTGTCAAGCTGAGAGCTATAAAACGCTGTTGAGCTGCCTTTACTTCTTTGTTTAGCACTGTATGGGATCTAAACTGTTTGGCTCAAGGAAGTGGCCTAGCCCAGGTCACTGGCACTCCCCACCTTCCTCTGCTTGAGCTCCCGGCATTTAGAAAAGGAAAGGAGTCTCACGGCCACAGGCCGCATTTAGCATTTTATTTTTAGCACAGTGGTGATACCAAAAACATGGAAGTAAACAGGAGGTTGTCAGGCATATCCAAATAGCAGGAGAAGATTAAATTCATGTCAGGGAGCTAACTGGCCCCTGCAGTAAATAAATTGTTTCCCACGAAGTGCTGGTAAATAGAATATTTATAAGATGTCTGCTTTTCCTGATGCTCATGAAGATGATTTTCACGTGCCAGGTTACCTCGCCTTTATGCATGTTACTGATTTGATTCTGGCCGAGTTGGACGCACGCTGTTGTAGACGCATGTTCCACTGCCCTCTACTGGTCAGAATGTGTCATGTGGGGACACTGGCAGGCACAGCCTTTCAAGGGGAATTTTGGGGGAAATCTGGGGGCTCCAGGACCCTTTCATCTGAAGGAGGCAAGGAAATCTGAGTAGCCCAGGGCAAGAAGAGGTCACAGCTTTGACTCCAGCATCAATGCTACGAGATATTAATTCAGATATTGATGTCAAACGTTACAAAAGCCAAAAGAAATTCCTCTTTTCCATGAATTCAGTCATTTTTGAGTCTGTGCATAAGCTGCTCCCATAGCCTGCTTTGCTTCCCAAGGGATAGTCTAAGAAAGCAAAACAAAGACATAGCTCAAAAGGGTGATTCTTCCTCTTCCAAGCTAAAGATACTTACTGGGCTGCAATCTTAATAAATTTTTTTAAGAGCTGAACACGCTTGCTGAGCTGGGAACACAGGCAAATCTCAGTGATGACCCAGAACTGGATTTCATTAAATCTTCTCAGGAACAGATCCAAGTTGGCTGTGGTCTTTTTAAAATTGTGCCTTCCAAATGTGTGATAGATTAGCTCCAGCTAGAAAAGCAAGGAAAACAATGTCTCTTAAGGGTTGGCTTTTTTAAATCCAGCAAGCTTGCACGGCTTGGCCATTGGTTTCTCTGTTTTATTGGTCAACGAATGCGAGCGAATGCAGCCACCAACTGAGATGCAGCCTGTCCCGCGGATTTGAAGGGCTTCCAGGAGTCTTGTGAAATATATAAATAGAAGCAAGATTTTGTTGGCTGAATATATGCAGGAAGGCATGGCATACCGAAAACCATAAAGCTTTTCCTCTAATATTCAAAGGCTTTGTAACAGGCCTTATTTATAACCTCGGTATGCAAACAGATCATCACGTGGTTCCTCTCCTGCCATGCGTATTAACGCTCACAGTGGGCTGTGACCACAATTGCCAGGGCACCCATGGATGGCGGCCCCCCGGGCCCCTTACCTCGTGCACACAGTTGAAGAGCTCCCAGTCGTAAATCGTCATCTGGTATGCCAGGTCTTTGGAGCTCATTAGTTCAAAAGTTGCCACAGTCCCAACAGTCGGGCCCTCTTGTTCTGCGAGTGGGGTCTGAGAATAAGATAGACATGGATCAAAATCTCAGAGCCACGTGCTGAGTGCCGAAAGCTGTCAGGAGTGTCTCAGGAGAAGGGATCCCTGCAAGCCTACAGGACTATCCTGAAAGAGGAGGGGGTGCCTCAGTTCACGGTGTGGCTGGCTGCGGTGGCATCTCCTGTGCTGTGTCATCACCATCATTATAGCCAATTCTGCTGGCAACATGGAGCATGGCAGATAAGCTGCCGGGAAGGGTGTCCCGTGGAGGCTGTGTGCCTATTGCTTGGGCCTGCAAGGTCCCTGGGAATTCTTCCATTTCCCCAGAAAAGATGGAAGACGTTCTTGGTGACACCTTCCCTCCTGCTTCCCACTGAAGCCGCAGCCCAGCGGGTCCTGCCAAGGCCATGTGGGACCGTCAGCCTCAGTACCCCTTATGCAGACTGGGCAAGGAGCTACAGCTGCTGCATCTCCACCCCTGGTGACACACTGCCCGGGGCACATGTGGTGGGAGACGGAGATGGACAACCATGGGCTGAGACCGCCAGCCAACCCCTCGACTCTCTGGCAGGGCTTAAGCTGAGCACGTTACTCCTCTGGTCCTGGAGTCTGGGGCTGGCTATTTGACGATAAAGCTGTGCTACTTTCTAGAAGGCCTGTAGTCAGAGGTTTTTATCTGATGTACTTACCTCAGGTGTCCTTTGTGAGAAATGATCTGAAGTGTTTTTCCTTAGTGAGAGGAATGATACACACACACAGGAATATATGTATAAAATGAGAGTGCTTCGAATAGTGCGTAGAATATGGAATGCAAAGGTAATGCACATTTTCCACAAGCCTTTTGAAGGCCCCTTGTGTATTAATATCTAGCACAAAATAGGTAATACATATTACAAAGTCTCAAAAATGAAAAGAATGCTTCCTTATTAAATCTTGAAAAAAAGGGGGGTGGGTGGGTGCTGTGGGGTAGTAGGTTAAGCCTCTGCTATGGTACCAGCATCCCATATGGGTGCAGGTTTGAGTCTCAGGTGCTCCATTTCTGATCCAGCCCCCTGCTATGTCCTGGGAAAGCAGTGGAGAATGGGCCCCTGCCAAGTCCTTGGGCCCCTGCACCCATGTGGGAGACCCAGAAGAAGCTCTTGGCTCCTGGCTTCAGATTGGCCCAGTTTTGGTTGTTGTGGACGTTTAAGGAGTGAATCAGCAGATGGAAGATCTCTCTCTCTCTCTTTCTCTCTCTCTGTAGCCCTGCCTAAAACAATTAACATGATGCTAACCACATTGGGAGATTTAATATTGATGTCAGAAGTACTAGTATTAGGGCTGGCACTGTGGCGTAGCGGGTAAAGTCACCGCCTGCAGTGCCGGCATCCCATATGGGTGCCAGTTTGAGTCCTGGCTGCCCCACTTCCGATCCAACTCTCTGCTATGGCCTGGGAAAGCAGTAGAGGATGACCCAAGTCCTTGGGCCCTTGCACCCACGTGGGAGACCCAGAAGAAGCTCCTGGCTTCGGATCGGCGCAGCTCCAGCCGTTGCAACTAATTGGGGAGTGAATCAGTGGATAGAAGACTTCTCTCTCTCTGCCTCTCCTTCTCTCTCTGTGTAACTGTGTTTCAAATAAAATAAATAAATCTTTGAAAAGAAGTACTAGTATTAAACAAGTTCCACCGTCACCTTCATCATCATCACTCTAACCACTGTGTTCTATAAGTGGCCACTGCATCCTGGACACGTCCAGAGATGATGCGTGGGGCTCATCAAGACTCCCTCCGCCTTGGCAAAGGGCAGGCTGACCCCTTCCTCCGTGAGCCCAGTGACGAGGCTCTCTGAGCCCCAAAGGGTACTGCTCCCTCTGACACAGGGGGTTTCCATGGTGACCAGGGCCCTGAAGGATTCCATGCTCTGAGTTATCCCTGTGGCGATGTCCTACAGAGGAGACACACAGCACTTAACTCAGAGAGCTGGGAACCCTGCCTGCACACGGGCACAAAACTCCATGGATTCCCTCCCCGCCCCTTTGTGCAGATGGCTCCTGTGCTACAGCTGGAGAAAGGTGCTTGGGAGACCAGCTGCCTTCCCATTTTCAGGCGTGACAATGAAGACGTCAGGAGGATGTGCTATCAGCGACACAGAGGTGGCGACGGTTGGCCCGTGTCTTGTGAGCACACGGCGTCCCTCTCATTCTGCAGTGGCCCCTGTCACGCTGACTTCTCCCTGACTGCAGGGTACCAGGAGCTCCAGGAGGAGGTATGAGGCCCATGGTGGATTGGCTGAGGCCATCCCAGAGCCAGAGCCATCCTTGATGCCCGGATCATCATACAAGTTACTAAATCAAAGTCGGAGGAACTAGTGGATGGATAGAAGTGGAACCAAATTACAGTTCCATGGGATTTTACTGGAAGTTGTTGGGCACTCACACTGACATTTGAATAAAATGTCCGAGGGTAACACTACCAACAAAAGTCCCTAGCTTTGAGCAGAAGTGGCGGTCAACCAGCTCATTCCAGACAAGGCAGTTAACACGAAAACGTGCTCTGATCCAGACTGCTGGGTCATTCTCATCTCCCTACCTGGACTGTAATTGTGGCAAGGACAGAGGACCCACGGCACTTGATCTCGTGTCATACAGAAGCTAGCCCAGTGCAAAGCAGACCCCGCCAAAGCACCTGCTGGGGGATGCAAGGGTTTGCAAGGTCAAATATTGCAAAGTCATGCTCGGGGCCCCTGCCTACAAGGGCTGTCTTTAGAACGCCGGAGACGGAGCTCTATGGAGGAAAGGCCCTGGGGCACAGTGGGTAACAGGGCGCTGGCAGGGAAGAAGTTCATGTCTGGGGGACTTGTTCTAGAGCAAATTCCTTCCAACTACTCAGGCCTTAAAATGGAAGACAAGCAAGGACTAAGAACTTGGAAGGCTGTAGGATTGTGTGCAAATAAACAGAGGCTTAAAAAGTTAGGATCTGCCCCCTAGGGAGCTGGCCGGAGTCCACACTGCCTATCTGTACACGGCGCTCCCCACTGCGGCCCAGAGCCAGCTGGCAAGGGAGGCCCCTGCCCGCTGTGCTGCGTAGTCCAAGCGTCACATATGCGGCGCCCTCCCGGGGGCGGCAGCCACACCCCTCCCAGGAGAGGGCAGTGGCGCTCCCTGACAACCTTTTTTTTTTTAATCCTTCAACGTTGGGAGACAGTGTAGAAAACAATGGTTCAAAAATAGAGGAAAGGAATCTGAGTCGTGTCCGATCTCACAGCACTGGGGGCTGAGGAAGGCGAGGCTCCGGGAGAGAGAGGCCGAATCAGGGAAGTGAGAGCCACATGGCCGAGGTGCTCCGCGCGCCAACTCACACAGTGTACAAATCCATGCCGCTGCCCTGCGGTGTCCATGCGTGCTCTCTTCACACTGGAAACCCAGGGTCTCGAGGAGGAAAAAGAGCCCTACAAAGTCCAGGGTGCGGAATCGGGATTTCCCCGAAAGGCCTGACTGGGTGAACTGGAAAACTATTCGTGGGTCATTCCGGTAGCCAAAGTGCCTCCCGGAAAGTGGGAGCAGGTTACTTGATCATATTCTTTCTTTATCTGAAAGATGCGGACAGGGAGAGGGAGAGACGGAGAGAGAAGAATGAGACAGGGAGAGAAAGAAAGGAAGGAAGAATGAGAAAGGGAGAGAGAATGAGAGAGAGGGAGAGCGTGTAAGGTGGGGAGAGGGGTGGGGGAGGGGAGATTACACCTGCTAGTTCACTCCCCCAAATCCTACAATGCTGAGGCTGGGCCAGACTGAAACTGGGAACTGCGAAACTCAATCCAGGTCTCTTATGTGGGTGGCAGGGACCCAGTCACTTGACCCATCCCCACTGTCTCCCAGGGTCTGCATTCGCGGGAAGCTGGAGTCCGGAGCCAGTCCGGTATGGGGACCCAGGTAGCCTGATGAGAGCCACAGCTGTCTGAGCCCTGCACCACACACGCACCCCTTAATGGAGTTTACCTGCACATCCATTTTGGTGCAAGACCATTTTGAAATCCACACGTGGTTTTTCCTAATCGGCATTTGCAAGGACTTCCCGAATGTCCTTCAGATGCGTGACTTCCCTTGTGCTGCCCTTCTCTGAGCAGAGAAGCCCAAGGGCTCTGTGCCAAGGCTGAGGGCACAGGGCCTTCACCTTCCGCTCTGGCCCCCTGGCTGTTCCAAGGTATTTCAGTAGCTACACACCACCCCCCCTAATTTGTATAGGATAAATACAAATGAACCTTCTACCTGCAGAAGAGAGCAGTTAACTCACTTGTTAGTGTGGGTCCATTAGTCCTTTACAGCAAACCGTGTAGCCTGAAAGTGTTTTGGAGACTTAGAGAATGAGTCTGTTCTCGAATTTCCTATGCATTTTCTATGCTCCCCTGATAAATAGCATTAAAAAAATGACTTGCATCCTGGTCTAACTATTCCGACTTTTAATGTGAATATTTAAACTGTGGACATTTCAATGCAGTGAAGTTCAGCTCAGAGTGCTGGAAGCTGAACGATGCCCTCATAGCAGTGCCACTGGGCTGATTTCCATAGAAGAAAAAGCCAAAGCTCAGAGCATCTCCAGGGAACACCTGAGACTTACCCAGGAGAACCCAGAAAGAGGAAAAGCCAAGGAGCATTTAAGATTTTTCAGCCCCGGGGTTTGTGACCGCACAATGAAGCTCAAGACAAGTTTTGCTGATTGCAGACGCTGCTCCGCGGAGGCCGTCTGCACCTACCAGTGAGTCGAACTGCTCCCGCGGGCAGGCAAACAGGCGGCCGTTAATGGTGAGCGTGGTAAACACGGAAACATCATTAGGCTTGAGCACCACCTTTTCTGTGAACACACAAAGCAGGAGATTGCCTATTAAATACATCTGAGATTTGCTGCACTGCCCTAATCACACCAACAAATTGCCAGCTCAGTGAATTGCCGGGACACGCAGAGGGACTGCATAAAATACAGGGCTGAAGGGACCCACTGAATAAAAAAGACGCAGCTCTCACGCAGCCACGTGAGACCCAGATGCCATCAGAGATGACCACAGAGCAGGACCGGACACACCCGAGGGTCGGTTCACCCCGTTACAGCTGCAGCCACAATTATACAGCTTGACCGCATTTGCTATGTATAACAACGTATGTTTTTAGGTAGCAATAGCGCCCAGCACACTGGAGACAGAAAGATGACTTCTAGACAATTTAGGGGGTTTCTGAGGTCCCACATGGTTTCAATGCAAACTTTATTTATTTTTCCTGCTTATTCTCTAATTTGGAAGGCAACAGTATTAACTCCTTGCACATTCTACAAATTAGCTCATTCAGTAAATATGTACAGAGCATATACTACGCGCCAGACCCTGTGCCAGGCACTGGGGAAAACAGAGGGAGAAAATCCCTGTCCAACATGCACGTCCATCCCCTTGAGCAAGGCAGACAGGAAACAGGGTGAGGAGGAAGAGATCAGAGTGGAAGGGGCTAGGAAGTAATGACACAGGGAGAAGCTGGCGTTTTAGAAAGCGCATCAGAGTTAGGGATGAGGGAAGCCTTGGCGAGGCCCTGAAGTGTGGGTAAAGACGTACAGGAAGCGAGGGAGGCACCGGGGAGCTACCAGCAGCGAAGACAGACATCCCGGGCCTGTGCAACTGGGACAGAATGGCAGGCATCCTGGACTCCACCAGGCACTTCAGCATCCTACATCCAGGGACTCATTTGCCTTAGAACAGGCTCATCTGTCTGCAGGACCCCGCCCCACCGCCGGGGCATCAAATCATTTCCGGAGACGTCACTTCCCTCCAGTCTCTTGCTGAGCGAGCATTCCTAAAGCTCCTGCAACGTGGACTGTAGCTGCGTATTTACTGGCTACCTGCTCCCTGGCAAGCAATGTGGTAACCCATCCTCTCCTGTCTCAGCCACACAAAGGCCAGTGCAGAGAGCCGACGACTAAATGGCATTTCAGGGTACACAGAGTGATCAAGGCCAGCGAAAGGAAGGGTCAGCATCCCTCCTGTCATCGGATGTAGCTGGGCTCCTGCCCTCTCCACTGGCTGAGGAGGGAATTGCTGTCAGTGGGAAAGGACCAGCCTGGGACCACTTCCTGTTTCAGACTTATAGAAAGCAGGAGCCTGTAGCTGGTCAAGGCAGAGTCTCCCTTAGGGTGCACATTGTCAGGGCTTCAAGCCCTAGAGCTCTCGGTTCAAGTTCACATGGAAAGAACTCCAGGTTGGCATGCACCCAGAGTCTACAGTTCCAGCCGCCTCAGATGCATTGCTTTACCTCCCTCTGATTCAGAGCAGGTGCCTCCAGGACAGAGGCGACAAGACACCCACCCAGGCCCCCTCTGTTGTTCTCTGGAGTGCACACAGCCCCAGGTCATCTTTCTGGGTCAGCCTGCAGTGGCTTTGTAAGCCCTCACCTGGTTTCTGTTTGAATGGGATGTCCCATTTTCCAAAAAGCCCCAAGTCCTAATAAAGGCTGTTACCTCCCCCAGAGCTCATCTTGACGATGATCAGGCCTTCCCCAGAGCCCAGTTTGTCGGCCACCGCACTGATGACTTCCTTCACCGAGGCGGCCACCGGCACCCGGATGGTGGTGTAGGTGTGGTCCATGCAATAGACCTTAAACAGAACTAGGCAAAGGCAGTCAGAGTGGGGTAAGTTGGTCTTGGAGTTCTTAAGAAAACCACACGTTATGCAAAACTCTACCTCCCAAATTTGCACCATCTTGTCATTCTCACCTATTTGCACACACCTACACCCAGGCCTGCCCGCTTCTAAATTGCTCCCCTTAGCACTGGCCTAGAACAGGTGTACATATGGTTGCCAACCCCAGTCACCAGAACGACAGAGAATTTGTGGACAGCCCAGAAACAGGTCATGGGAAAAAATGAGAAGTGTCTTTAGGCCAGGGTTCTGGGTCTGCCCTGCCCTCCGAGCATTTTTCTGGTCACAAGAAGTAGAGGATCCTTGCACCCTAGACTGCTGATGGGATGACCACTGCCCTGCAGGACAATGCAAAGCTGACATTAATCTCTGCAAGCAGGAGAGCTCTGCCCAGGCCTTAGCGGCTGCTGCCGTTACTACTCCTTCGCTTCACTGGTCTGTGTGCTTTGGGGCTGGGCCACACAGTTCTGATGTATGTCACTCAACAGACCTATATGTGGTACCCACAGGCTCACCTCTGATCGCATAAACCTGGGAATCGATTGCAACTACTGTGATTCTTAAGGTGTGAGGCCCTCCTAAATGACAAGATTCATTTGTGGCTTAACATGAAAATGTTATCATTATTATGAGGATGGCTGTGGGTTGCAAACCTTTGGAGAAATCTTAGACGGCTGAAAAACTAAAGCCAGAACATTCACCTCCTAGACAGTGGCTGAGGCAGCTGCTCAGGGCAGGAGTGTTCTCCCAGGCTAGATGCCCCGTGTTCTACAGCACCAGCTCCTTTCCCACCACCCTTAACACCTGGGCCTGACGCCATCCACATTCCCCTCCAGAAAAGGTGGCAGCCAGGGAGAGGTAGAACTGGGGAAGTGTGGACAAGTTCCTTTGCACCAGGTATTCTCGCAACGCAAAAGGGCACCTCCGACCAAGGTGGAGTGGGTCCGTGGTGCCACTTCCCGCGGGGAAGGTTTCACTGGGATGCCCTGGGAGTCGGAAGAAAATTCTCACCCTCATCAGAGCCGCGGATGGGCTGGCGCTTCTGGCTTCTCTCATCGCTCGTGTTGAACTGTTGCAGAAGAACTTTGTGCTGCAAAAATAGGCAGTACAGCAAGTGCCATGAGGGATAGGGACCAGGGCAGGCTAGCAACTCACCGAGAAGGCGTCTGAGAGCAAGCAGAGGCCCGTCGGGAGAGATCATGTTTGTGTATCACGACACACATAGGATACTTCTGGAGCGCGGACTCTCCAGGGCGCAAGGAGGAAATCCAAATCCATGCCACTTACTTTCTTTTGTGGAGCTTTTGCATCTTCTGAGCTACGGGAAATAGAGGAAGCACATCGTTTAATACCACGGGGATGGCTGTTTTCCGCTGCATCGTGTGTGTATGACTTTCATCTGTTGGTACAGAGTGTAATCACAGGGTCCCTCCAGCAGGCAACATGAGCCTCTGTGTTCTAAGAGACCAAAGCAGCCAGCGCTGCGGCTCACTAGGCTAATCCTCCGCCTGCGGCGCCAGCACACCAGGTTCTAGTCCTGGTTGGGGCGTCGGATTCTGTCCCGGTTGCACCTCTTCCAGGCCAGCTCTCTGCTGTGGCCCGGGAAGGCAGTGGAGGATGGCCCAAGTACTTGGGCCCTGCACCCGCATGGGAGACCAGGAGAAGCACCTGGCTCCTGGCTTCGGATCAGCATGATGCGCTGGCAGCAGCGCACCGGCCGTGGCAGCCATTGGAGGGTGAACCAACAGCAAAGGAAGGCCTTTCTCTCTGTCTCTCTCTCTCACTGTCCACTCTGCCTGTCAAAAATAAATAAATAAAAAAAAATAAAATAAAATAAAGAGACCAAAGCACGCAGGGACAGCAGAGATTTGCACGCGCGTCCGAGGCCGTTCCCCGGCAGAGCCCATGGGACAACCCAGGATTTCTGCCTTTGCCAGTCTCTCCAGCCACAGGCTCCCTCTTGAGGATTTAATGGCTAACTCAAGTGGCAGTGTATGCATCCCTTCTGGTCTCAAAAGACACAAGTGTCAGGACCAGCTTTGGCAGTGGGAGGTGACCTTTAATCGTAAGGAATTGCCCTCAAATTGTCTTTCATTGCCCCTTGCTGAATTTCTGCTTTGAACTGAAGGGACCCCAATGTCATGAGTGGGGCTCCCCAAAGGAGGGTCTTGCTCCCCAGACTTTCCCTTGACAGCCCACCCATGCTGAGTGCAGCCAACAGGATCTCAGTCCTTCTGTGCACCTGGGCCGAGAGCACCGTGCTTGCCCTGGGCAAGCACAGACAGAACACAGCGTGGCTGCGGAAAGCCCAGCTTTAACCTCTCTGCACAAGCAAAGGACTTTGGGGAGATGTTTCCGCGTCAGGCAGCGGCGGCCCGAGACCCAGCCCTTCCTTACATTTGCTTGACGATCTTCTCCAGTTCTGGAAGCTGCTCCTTCAGGGTGGCAATGACCCGGGCATCATCAGACACAGACACGTAAAACTCCTGCAATTGGCAAAGGTCACAGGCTTTTCATGAGAGCTGCAAAAGGTGCACGCCACTGTGAGAGCAGCTAACATGTGCTCCAGTGTCATCAGCCCCCGACGGCCCAGACCGCGGGCTCGTGGACCGCAGGGAAAGTGGCAAGGAGCAAATGCTACAGTATGTCTCAATTCAAAACTGCAAATGAGAGAAAGTTCTGGAACTAGACAACGGCGATGCTGGCACAACACTGCAAATGCAATGAATGTCTTTCATTAAAAGCATGCATTTAACACGTGGTTCAAATGGCACATTTTATGTTAGAGATTCTTCCATTTTACCACAGTGAAAAATCTCCCCCCCAAAAAAAAATTAAATTGCAATTATTAAATTGCAAGTGATCTATTTATATAAGACACAATGGAATGCAATGCTCTAGAAGAAGGAGTTTTATAATTTATGCTTCAAGATGACTTTCTTATCTCCATTTTTAAGGGAAATTCTGGTACTTATTTGTAATATTATTTTAATATTTAACATCTACCCCTAGTGTGGTTAGTTGTTGGTGGCAAAAATTCAGGCATGGTCTTTCACACTGTTCCGAATTGGTGCTGAGTGTGTGCCGCCAACTCACGCCTCCTTGCTGCCTGGAAGTGCCCGGTCCTGACCACCCAGCTGCAGAAAGTGTGCCCAGCATTGCACGGGAGTGCTGGCCTCCACAGCAGACAATGAAAATGACCGCCGCCACTTGGGGTCAGCCGCGGAAAGGGCCCACGCTCAATGGACAGAGGCGGTAGGTCAACATAGGACCTCAAGCTCCTGTGATCCCTCGCATTCTCACAGCATTTCCCCCCCCAGCCTTGAGAGACCCTGGTCAACCTGCCTCAGCCTGAGAAATCAATGGACTACAAAGGAGCGAGGGGATTCCTTTTGGATGACTCATTGTACAACTTTGGGTTGATAAAGTTGGCCCCGGAAGCCACCTTGCACAGAAGCCAGGACCTTGTCTAAATGTAGGGGAGAGGGGGAGTACAGCACATTCTGCCCCTACCGTCTGTGGTTTTGCTTTCCTGTGGTTTCAGTTACCTGCAGGCAATTGTGGTCCGAAAATATTAAACAGAAAATTCTAGAAATAAGTACTTCATCTTTCTTAAATTGGACACTGTTTGGAGTAGTGCTGAGAAATCTCTCATCAGCCTATCCCACCATGCCTGGGATGTAAATTGTCCCTTTATCCAATGTGTCCACACTGTCAGCCCCCTGCCCCATGGCAATTGAGAGAGAGAGATGACATTCATGCCACTGTAATCGAAGTACATTGTTAGAATTTTTCTTTTATTATTACTGCTGTTAATCTCTTATTGTGCCTAGTTAATAAATTAAACTTTATCGTGGGCATGTATGTATAGGAAAAAACAGGGTATAGACAGGGTTTGGTACCATGCAAGGTTTCCATGAGGGGTCTTTGTAAAAATTCCCACAGATAAAGTGGGGCCCCTTTAATCAAAGATTCAGTGTCAGGGCCAGTGCTGGACTGTGGAGCAAGAGCAGGGCAGCTGAGCTTACAGCAGTGTTTGCAGAGTAAATGACACCCCTTTAGAACTACCTCGCAGCCTCCCAAGTCCTGTTCCAGTAACTCCTCAATAAAACCATCTGCTTCACTCCACTCACTTATCTAACAACCCCACATTGAGGAACATAGCAAGGACGTACCCAGCTGCACAGAACTGTTCACTACACTAAACTCCCATGAAGGTGAAAACTGGCCAACATGACAAGAGCTAATAAATATATCTGTGGCACAGCTACCCAATGAAATTGAGTAACTGGGAAATTTTTTTTCTTATAAAGACTTTACTGATATAGAAAAAAAAATCCTTATGTAAGGATTAAGTAGAAAAAGCAGCCTGTGGGATGATGGATTCTATGTGATTCCGACTACAGGAAACACTCAAAAGGAAAAAAGCATAGACGAAAATACATTAAAATGCGACCAGTTACCGAACTAGAGCTGCAGGATAATGGGTGATGCTTTCCTTTGCTTTTCTTAAAGCACCTCTCTGAATAGTGAATGAAGATACTAACAAAGCCTAGATTGTGCAATGACTTCCCCCCCAGGAAGCTGCTGTGTATGGCTAGGTTCCTGCACGGCAGGACCACATTGTATTCTTGGAAGGAAGGACCCCCATGTACCTCCAGGAAAGCCACGGCCACGTCATCTTCTTGAAGGAGGTCTCCGTACGTGGCAGCCCACTGGAGAACCAGGCGGATGACTCGCCTCTTGTTGTTGAGGGAATAATCCATTTTCTCCTGTTCCGTACCTTGAGAAGGCTGTGCATGGTAAGTGCCCAGGAGTCAAGGAAGATATTCAGCCATTGCACTGCATGATGCTACTTGCAAAGACAGAGTGACAGAGGCCAGCTTCAGAGAGCCAGCCTTCTAAAAGGATGCAATTTCACTCTCAAGATAAACTCCACATAAAGTGTCTGCACCAAATGCATACGAACCTTCCCCAACTCCTGTTGACTTTGACCTGACAGTTGACAGGTAATTAGACTTTCATTGACTCCCACTTGGACTTGAGTGTTGACAAAGAATCTTGCTATGCCTGGATCCAGCTCTCATTCCCTGCCTGTCTCCGTCTTGCCCTTTGCCTCTCTGGGCGATCATGTCTCTTGCTGTCGCTAGTATATGGGTGCCTTGCCACCTCTTGTTTCCCATAATTCTGTCCACATCTCTGTAATGCTCTTCACCCTATGCATTTCTGGGGAAGCCTACCAAGTGGACATCTAGGCCTGCTGGGACCGTGCCTGATACACACGGTGCATGGGTAAGCAGGCAAGGCTGGCGGAAGGGGAAGTTCCTGCTATGTCAATCCTCTGATGAAGGCTTTAGACATGCCCACCATGCTTTTTGCTCTTGCCTACAGCCACAACCTACCTCCTTGTTAGCTTATGCCTCGCCATCTTAGTTACAAGCCCCTGAAGGCTTGGTATCACATATTATTTGTCTTATATTCTACCATGACTACCACAGTGACTTTCATCTAGAATTTTTATGTTATTCATTACTACAACCAACATCTGTTGCCTACTACGTGCCAAGAATAAAAGTCCCTGCTCTGGTTGGCATTCTTAGATGGATTACATTAGGCAGAATATAGTGGGTGATCCAGAAATATTTTAGATTAGACATGCTATTCATTTTTTTCAGTGATTTAGAGTAGTTCATGTTATAGCCAGCTAGTTCATGATCAAATTAACCCTTCAGAACTTACACTGCAACTCGCATACAATGTATCTCAGTTAAACTCTAGTTTATGGTCTTGGGATGAAGGTGGCATTCCCTTCCTACAAGGGAGCAAACTGACACTAACAGGGCATAAAAGGGCAGGACTATGTAGCAAGAGTGCCCAGTGGGTGAGTCCAAGACTCCAGCTTGTTTTGTTGCCATTATACAACTCCTTGGGCCTGACAGCTAGCGACAAGACTGGCCATGCCTTCGCTTACACGATGACTTGAAAGGCATTGTGGAAAACGGCCTCATGGCAGTGCTGTGCTTGAGAGCACACCCAGCAAAGGGGCTTTTCTAAAAGGACTATAAATAATCATGACCAAGGTAAATGACAGAACCTTAAAGCAAAGGTTTACTGCATGTAAATGGTTTGCAAAATGGCTTTCATAAATTGAGCACGAGATTCATAAAAAAGAAAATTGCTCAACCTGTATTGCTACAATTCTCGCTGAGCTTACAATAAAAAAAGAAGAAAGATCACTTTATGTGAAAATTATTTCTTTTCTGATTAACCCCTTGGTCTCTTGCTTGTATGCTTACAATGCGTTTTTCCTTTCTAAAGAGCTGCAATGCTGAGCACTACATCTTACGGCCACTTTTTAAGAAAGTGAAGAGCAGCACAGTCAGGCACATGGTGGGACCGAGGAAATAATTTTCAACTGCCTGAAAAATATAGATTGGTTCACGTGAGAGTTAGAGGAGCTGGGTTCGAGTCCTCCCATTGCCAGCACCAAGCATTCTGATTCCGGGTAAGCCACTTAGCTGTAGATCTCTATGTGCTCAGCTGTGAAATGAGGAGGTGATATGAAATAATTCCCAAATTCTATTGGAACTACCACAACACTAAAGCAAGGTGGATCTAAAGAGAAACGATAAACTGCCTTTCCATATGGCTGTCTTCTGTTTAACTGCGTGGTGACCGGCAGGTGTGGTGCTATGGTTTGCTGATGGTTTGTCCACACCAAAAGTCATGTCAAGGCTTAATTCTTGAATGTGGCAGTCAGGAAGTGGGGCCTTGAAGAAGCATGGTTGCTTTTCTCATGAGACTAGATTAGTTCTCTTGGGAATGGATTAGTTCTTGTGAAGGCCTGGTGTTTTTCAAAATATTTATTAATTAAATTCTTTATTAATTTTATTTATTAACAAATAAGAGAGATTGAGTTAGAGATCTTCCATCAGCTGGTTCACTCCCCAAATGCCCACAACAGCCATGGGCTAGGCCAGACCCAAGCAGGGAGCCAGGAGCACCATCCTGGTCCTCCACATGGATGGCAGGAACCCAAGTACTTGGGCCATCCTCTGCTGCCTTCCCAGGTGCATTAGCAGGAAGCTAGCTTGGAAGCAGAGCGGCAGAGACTCTAACTAGTACTCTAATATGGGATGCCAGTGTTGCATGGGGAAACTTAACCCACTGGGCCACAGTGCTGGCCCCTGAAGGCAGGTGGTTATAAGGAGGTCAGCTCCATTGTTACACCCCTTATTTGGCCAGCACCCCTTGGCTTTCTAGTTTTCTGTCATGCACAGGGCAACGAAGTTCTCCCCAGCAACCGAACAAATATGGCCATCCCATCTTGGATTTCTAGCCTTCGGAGCTGTGAGCTAACTAAACCTCTTTTCCTTATGAATTACCCAGTCTCAAGCATTCTGATATAGCAACAAAGAGTGGATTAAGACAGTGTAAACTTGGTGTGTATCAGGCTTTGACAGGGACTACCTTTTTACTCTCATGGCATAGGAGAAAGTAAGAGTGGCTAAGGTGGGAGGCACGGGTAGGGGCTGAGGACAGCCAGCCTTGACACCTCCATAAGGCAGTGAAAATTCTGAAGCCAGAAGAGCATGAATTTTAAAGCCCTTGCTTCCTGAGCCAGTAATGTCAGCCACCCCATACACCCTGGTGCCATTGTTGGTCACGCCCACCATCCTCACACTGACACTTCAAGTCTAGCATGCTTCTTCTTCTATATTGAAGTGATAATGCAAGTGGAAGCCAATCTTTCTGATGACCCCACCCTGTAAAACAATGTGCCAATTTAAGTTTGGATTATGTCATATCCATTTTGAAAGACTGTCACATTGTAGCCTAGGTTATCATATAAACTTACATCTTAAAAACATCTTGTTACACTTGCAGTATGAGTACAGTTTGAATCACTCAAAAGTGATGATGTCACTTAGAAGAAACAAAAGCTTCCATTGAGCCTGTATATAAAAGGTGAGCACTCAGCTTAAATTCAGGAAAATAACCCCAAGATGTAAATAAGCCCAATGTAGTAATGTGGTTTTTACAAGTTAAACATATCTTCAAATAAATTACTTCACTTTTCAAAAACAATGTACATCCAAGTGTTTGACAAGTAGCAGGCTAATGAAACTATTCAGTACTCACCAATTAGTAAGAGATACTCTTAGTGAGGCACAGCGTGAGGAGCTGGGAATACAGTGGGCACCTTTCCTACCCACCTGGAACATTCCACTGGATTGTATGTTGAAAGGGAGAGATGAGATATTACGGAGAGAGAGAGAGAGAATCTTTCCTACTTGTATGAGGTTGACATGGTTTGCAGTATCAAATTGGCATCACATGACTATAATCCTAATGTTCCTTGACTTGAACTCAAAGAAACAATGCTTATTCTTGTGTTTCAAATATAGTAATATCTGCAGCATCCTTGTAGCTAATCTTTGGGATCACAAGAAAGGATAATTAAATCTATATTGTACATATGGGCAGGATAAAGATTTTTCTTGTCATCTTCCCTGTTGTAGGCATTTTTCTTTTGTCCACTGCACAAAACAGAATACACAGTTGGAAAGATTACAATGATACCATTTTTAGCATGTGTAGAGCTTTATAATTTATAAAATGTGTTCAATGTGCTCATATGAACATATAATACTATCTACAAATATAACAAGGAGATAGTCAGAGATGCAGAAACTGGGGTTGAGAGAGAAGAGATATACCCGAGAGTGCTGAGGGGAGTGGATGGCACGGTTTTCAAATATAGACAAACTCTTCCCACGGTCAACATACCTACCATCCCAAACAGGGGCCACAGTGACTACACGTTAATACTGAGGCTCATGAAATTTTTAAGAATAATTGCACCTGGGGAGCAAAAATCCTAATGAGAAAGAGATTTCTGTTTTTCTTCTCCTTCTGAAGTTCTAGGTTTTGCTCTGACGTAGCATGCTGAGTAGCTAAGCCAGGGCTGAGTACCCCCTGTCTTTGAATAACTCCACAGCCTCTTGGGAGATGGACTTGACCAAGCCCAGAGGGACTAGAAGGCATTTGCTTCCTCTTGTCATGAAAGGAAAAATTTCTTCCTTCTGAAAAAATAAAAAGGACTGACTGATGCCACAAAGTCTTGCCTTCCCCCTCCCAAATGTTTATTTACTAAGATGGAGGTAGCGGTAAGACTTCCTGTATAGCTGAATGCTGGAATCTGCTCAAGGATTCTCTCCCTCCACCGGTAACACCCTGCCCATTCCTGAACTGCCTGCTGAATGAGCTTCTTAAGGGACACAGAGAAGACTTTTTATGGCATCGATCTTACCGGAAGTGGTCACAGGCGACACGCTGGGGCTGTTGTTTATTCCCCTAACTGCCTCCCCAAGCAGTTAGGAGAATGATGCGACTTCTGGTCTTTATGTAATTCGTATGAAAATGATAGGGGGGTGGGAATCTCTGTTCCCTTCAGGTAGCAAAGAATAAAGACTCTTCAGTCAGATCCCTTGTCCCAATATGAGATAAAAGATGCAACTGAAAAGAATAATATTTCAAATACAGTATGTTCATAAACTGAAACACAACAGGAAGGTTGAGGAAAACATGTCTGCATGAAACTGGAATAATGCATTACCCATGTGATGGAAAAAGTCCCATGGGAAATAAAATCTAACTTTATTACAGGGGGAATAACAATTTAGAAGGCAATATCACTGAGTTAGTACCATGAACATAAGGGATATTTAACATTGGAAAAGCATTCATTGAAATATATACTTGGCTGGGGCTGGCGCTGTGCTGTAGTGGGTTAAGCCACCACC